TACCAACACCCTGATCACCACCATACACCATACCAGCGTCCTGATCACCGCCATACCCCATACCAACACCCTGATCACCCCCATACCCCATACCAACACCCTGATCACCCCCATACCCCATACCAACACCCTGATCACCGCCATACCCCATACCAACACCCTGATCACCGCCATACTCCATACCAACACCCTGATCACCGCCATACCCCATACCAACATCCTGATCACCCCCATACCCCATACCAACATCCTGATCTCCACCATACACCATACCAGCACCCTGATCACCGCCATACCCCATACCAACACCCTGATCACCGCCATACCCCATACCAACACCCTGATCACCGCCATACTCCATACCAACACCCTGATCACCGCCATACCCCATACCAACATCCTGATCACCCCCATACCCCATACCAACATCCTGATCTCCACCATACACCATACCAGCACCCTGATCACCGCCATACCCCATACCAACACCCTGATCACCGCCATACCCCATACCAACACCCTGATCACCGCCATACCCCATACCAACACTCTGATCACCGCCATGCCCCATACCAACACCCTGATCACCGCCATACACCATACCAGCGTCCTGATCACCGCCATACCCCATACCAACACCCTGATCACCGCCATACACCATACCAACACCCTGATCACCGCCATACACCATACCAGCGTCCTGATCACCGCCATACACCATACCAACACTCTGATCACCGCCATACACCATACCAACACCCTGATTACTGCCATACACCATACCAGCGTCCTGATCACCGCCATACTTCATACCAATGTCCTCATCACCACCATAAACCATACCAACACTCTGATCCCCGCCATACTCCATACCAACACTCTGATCACCGCCATACCCCAGACCAGCACCCTGATCACTGCCATACCCCAGACCAGCACCCTGATCACTGCCACGCCAACACTCTGATCGTCGCCATACACCATACCAACACCCTGAGTACTGCCATACACCATACCAGCGTCCTGATCTCAGCCATACCCCATACCAGCGTCCTGATCACCGCCATACCCCATACCAACACCCTGATCACTGCCATACACCATACCAACGTCCTGATCACCGCCATACACCATACCAGCGTCCTGATCACCGCCATACCCCATACCAACACCCTGATCACCGCCATACCCCATAACAACACCCTGATCACCGCCATACACCATACCAACACCCTGATCACCGCCATACACCATACCAACGTCCTGATCACCACCATACCCCATACCAACACCCTGATCACCGCCATACACCATACCAACACCCTGATCACCGCCATACTCCATACCAACACCCTGATCACCGCCATACCCCATACCAACATCCTGATCACCCCCATACCCCATACCAACATCCTGATCTCCACCATACACCATACCAGCACCCTGATCACCGCCATACCCCATACCAACACCCTGATCACCGCCATACCCCATACCAACACCCTGAAGACCGCCATACATCATACCAACACACTGATCACCGCCATACCCCATACCAGCGTCCTGATCACCGCCATACCCCATACCAACACCCTGATCACTGCCATACACCATACCAGCGTCCTGATCACCACCATACCCCATACCAGCACCCTGATCACCTCCATACCCCATACCAGCGCCATACATCATACCAATACCCTGATTACTGCCATACACCATACCAGCGTCCTGATCACCACCATACTCCATACCAACACCCTGATCACCGCCATACCCCATACCAACACCCTGATCACCGCCATACCAACACCCTGATCACCGCCATACATCATGCCACACCCTGAAGACCGCCATACATCATGCCAACACCCTGATCACCGCCATACACCATACCAGCGTCCTGATCACTGCCATACCCCATACCAGCATCCTGATCACCTCCATACCCCATACCAGCGCCATACATCATACCAATACCCTGATCGCCCCATAGGCAATACCAGCATCCCGATCACCACCATACGCCTTTTCCTGATCACCGTCATACACCATACCAACACCCTGATCACCGCCATACCCCATACCAGCGTCCTGATCACCACCATACCCCATACCAACACCCTGAAGACCGCCATACATCATACCAACACACTGATCACCGCCATACCCCATACCAGCGTCCTGATCACCGCCATACCCCATACCAACACCCTGATCACTGCCATACACCATACCAGCATCCTGATCACCACCATACCCCATACCAGCACCCTGATCACCTCCATACCCCATACCAGCGCCATACATCATACCAATACCCTGATTACTGCCATACACCATACCAGCGTCCTGATCACCACCATACCCATACCAACACCCTGATCACCGCCATACCCCATACCAACACCCTGATTACCGCCATACCCCATACCAACACCCTGATCACCGCCATACATCATGCCAACACCCTGAAGACCGCCATACATCATGCCAACACCCTGATCACCGCCATACACCATACCAGCGCCCTGATCACTGCCATACACCATACCAGCATCCTGATCACCTCCATACCCCATACCAGCGCCATACATCATACCAATACCTGATCACCGATACACCATACCAACGTCCTGATCACCACCATACCCCATACCAACACCCTGATCACCGCCATACACCATACCAACGTCCTGATCACCACCATACCCCATACCAACACCCTGATCACCGCCATACACCATACCAACACCCTGATCACCGCCATACCCCATACCAGCGTCCTGATCACCACCATACCCCATACCAACACCCTGATCACCGCCATACACCATACCAACGTCCTGATCACCACCATACCCCATACCAACACCCTGATCACCGCATACACCATACCAACACCCTGATCACCGCCATACCCCATACCAGCGTCCTGATCACCACCATACACCATACCAACACCCTGAAGACCGCCATACATCATACCAACACACTGATCACCGCCATACCCCATACCAGCGTCCTGATCACCGCCATACCCCATACCAACACCCTGATCACTGCCATACACCATACCAGCGTCCTGATCACCACCATACCCCATACCAGCACCCTGATCACCTCCATACCAGCGCCATACATCATACCAATACCCTGATTACTGCCATACACCATACCAGCGTCCTGATCACCACCATACCCCATACCAACACCCTGATCACTGCCATACCCCATACCAACACCCTGATCACCGCCATACCCCATACCAACACCCTGATCACCGCCATACATCATGCCAAACCCTGAAGACCGCCATACATCATGCCAACACCCTGAGCACCGCCATACACACCATACCAGCGTCCTGATCACTGCCATACCCCATACCAGCATCCTGATCACCTCCATACCCCATACCAGCGCCATACATCATACCAATACCCTGATCGCCCCATAGGCAATACCAGCATCCCGATCACCACCATACGCCTTTTCCTGATCACCGACATGCATCATACCAATGTCCTGACCACCGCCATGTCCCATACCAGCATCCTGATCACCCTATTTGCAAAATTTTTTAACAAAAATGTATTAATAAATAATTTATATTAAACCCCTAACCTTATCCCTTAACCCAAAATAAATATTAATAAATTAAATTAAATTATTATTATTATTAATAATAATAATAATAATAATAAATAAAACCCAAACCTGAACAAAAAAAAATACTAATAATAATAGTAACACATTATTATTATTATTTTTTATTATTATTATTATTATTATTATTATTATTATTATTATAATAATAATAATAATAATAATAAATTATTTACTTTGTGTTAGGGTTAGGGTGTTTATTTATTATTTTATTATTATTAATACTAGTATTGTTATTATTGTTAATTATTTGTTTTTTAAGGGTTAAGGAGTTAAGGTTAGAGGTTAATTATGTATTTATTATTAAATATTATTCATTGATTGTATTTATTATTTATGTATGATTATTATTTGTGTATTAATTTTATATTTTTTTTATTCATTCATTACTATTATTATTATTAGTAGTAGTAGTAGTAGTAACACCCTAACCCTAGCATAAAAAAAAAAGAATAAATAAATAATAAGACAATAAATAAAATATGAATCCCTAACCTCATATTTATAACTGAAACCTCGACCCCTAATCCTAACCTAACACCTTACCCTAAAAAAAAATATTATTATTAGGTATTATTATTTAAAAAAAATAAAAGCTGGTGGAAAAGCTAAAAAAACAAATGAAGCAACAGATTATATTTTTCTCTATTGGCTAATAAAAAACGCTAAAGCTCAAAAACGCTGCATGAAAACAATGGTGCAAAAAATTGGCTTGCAAAATACTCAGTATACTCAAGTCTGAATGTAGCCTGAAAGTGTGACATGTGAGGTATCTGTTTACCCTGCCTAGCAACATCTTTTATACTTCAATTGGTATTATGTTGTGTTTTTGTGTATTAAAGTTCATTAAATTGTATTATTCCCCCCCCCCGCCCCCGAAAAAAAAAAAATTGCATTTGAAAAACTGTTGTGCAAATATTGTGTGACATAAAAAATTGCAACACCCACTGTTTTATTCTCTAGGGCCTCTGCTTGAAAAAAAAAATTATGTTTCTAAGTAATTTTCTAAAAAAAAAAAAAAAAAAAAAAAAAAACAAATCCTGATTTTTTTTTTTTTTTTTTACATGTAGAAGAGAAGTGTCAGAAATGGCCTGGGGCTGAACTGGTCAATAAATGAAGAGGCAGACCTGTGATTCCCCACCGCCCCCCCGAGATCATGCATGTAGCTTGGCATCCACATGGCTAGGGGGACCCCGGTGTGCTGGAAAGACTGCTGCCCTCAACGTGAATGGAGAACCAGATATTGGTCAAGCCAGGAATACGCAGATAGAGGAATGGCATTCATTGGCTGGAGTAGAAAATGCAGAGAATATATTATGTATCTTACTCACTGTCTGGAAGGGTCATCTTTTCTACGATGTTGCTGTACGGTCCGTCCACTCCGGCTCCAATCGACTGCACTGCAAATTCATACCTGGTGTACGGCTTCAGGCCACCGATCAGGATCTCCTCCGCAACACTGAGGACAGAGGACAGGTATGACACCAGGCAATGCTAGGCTCCATTCACACCTATGTAGGTGCAACCGGTCCATTCATTTCAACGCACCACATCATCATCACACCAACAAAATGCAAGCACTTTTTTTTTTTTTTTATCGCGCTGCACCAAAGCCTATGGTGCGATTTTGCATGCGCGCTAGCAAGGCGCCTTGGGGGTGCCATTATGAATAAAAGGCACTGCCCTGTGTGTTGTGGGGGCGCATACCATTTTTCATGCATTCCCGCAGCGCACAAACCCACATGGAAGAAAAATATATTTGAAATATATTTTAAAAATATCCTTCCCAAATATATTGCCATATATTTGAAATGCTACAATTTTGGCCTTATTCAATATATATATATATATAATTTATTTATTTTTTTAAATATTCTTCCAATTTTTTTTTTACATATTAAAAAAGTAATTTGAGCATATATTTTTACGTATATTTGTAAATGCATTCCAAAAATGTAGCTTTGTATTTTAAGACATACAGTATATTTGAAATGAGATATATATATATATATATATATATATATATATATATACACACATATATATATATATATATATATATATATATATATATATATATTTTTTTTTTTATTTTTTTCATTTTAAAATGACTTTTCTATATGTTTAAAAAAATCAGAAGAATATTTTTTTTTTTTTTTTTAAATATTCTCTAAAATACATTTTTTTAAAATGTATTCTTCCGATTTTTTTTTACATATTAAAAAAGTAATTTGAACATATATATTTTTACATGTATTTGTAAATGCATTCCAAAAATGTAGATTTGTATTTTAAAAGACATACAGTATATTTGAAATTATATATATATATATATATATATTTCATTTTAAAATGACTTTTCTATATGTGTAAAAAAATCAGAATATATTTTTTAAAAAAAATATTTTAAAAATACATTTTTTTTTTAAATATATTCTTTAGATTTTTTTTAACATATTAAAAAAGTCGTTTTGACATATATTTTTACATGTATTTGTAAATGCATTCCAAAAATGTAGATTTGTAAAAATATATGTTAAAATGACTTTATATGTTAAAAAAAAAATCGGAATATATTAAAAAAAAAAAAGAAAATTTGTAAAAATATGTTTTTTAAAATATATTCTTCAGATTTTTTTTAACATATTAAAAAAGTCATATTGACATATATTTTTACATATATTTGTAAATGCATTCCAAAAATGTAGATTTGTAAAAAAAAAAAAATATATGTTAAAATGGCTTTTTTATATGTTAAAAAAGCCATTTTAAAAAAAAATCGGAAGAATATATTTAAGAAAAAAAAAATTTGTAAAAATATATTTTTTTTTTTTTTAAAATATATTCTTCAGATTTTTTTTAACATATTAAAAAAGTCATATTGACACATATTTTTACATATATTTGTAAATGCATTCCAAAAATGTAGATTTGTAAAAAAAAAAAAAAATGTTAAAATGGCTTTTTTATATGTTAAAAAAAATCGGAAGAATATATTTAAAAAAAAAAAATATTTGTAAAAATATTTTTTTAAAATATATTCTTCAGATTTTTTTTACATATTAAAAAAGTCATTTTTTTAACACATATTTTTACATATATTTGTAAATGCATTCCAAAAATGTAGATTTGTAAAAAAATTATATGTTAAAATTACTTTTTTTATATGTTAAAAAAAATTGGAAGAATATATTGGTCATTTGTTAGACGCATTTCTGCTGAATTTGTTGTTGCTGTTCTGTCTCTCAGTGTTACAATACCCCGAATATTCGATTTTTAGACCGATCATTTCTTTGTGAGTGGGCAAACATTCAAAATCAGCAGGGGAGCAAATACGCATTTCCTTCAGTGTGTATACACAACAACGCTGTTCTAAAAAAAAAAAAAAAAAGCTGAAAACATAAAATGTGCATTTAAAGTGTATCTAAACCCAATAACAAAACTGTAATATATTGCAGTTTACCAGTCCTTAGGTGTGGCGGCTGCATTCGTTTTATTTGTTTAGGCTTTTTTTTGCCTTCCATTTTCACCCTGTGATCCTGCCAGTAACACACTTCTTCTCCTAGGGTGACAATACTCATTCTATGCATGTAGGTAAAAAAACCTTCTCTGTGCATCACCCCTCCCCCCCCCCCTAATACTCACCTAGGCCCCTTCTCTATCCAGCGATGTGCCCTGGAGTCTCGGCTATCCCGGAACTCCCCCTCCTCATTGGCTGAAAGAGAAGCGATAGCTATTGGCTCCCACTGCCATCAATCACAGCCAGCGAGCCAATGAGAAGAGAGAGGGGGCTGGGCTGAGCTGTGGCTCTGTGTGTAAATGGATACAGGGAGCAGTGAGTGACCCCATAACAAGCTGCTTGCTGTGGGGGTGCCCGGGAGGAGGGGGGAGCCAGGAGTATCGGCGAGAAGAGAAGCCTTTAGAATCATTTTAAGTGTTAGGACCAGGGGCGGACTGACCATTGGGGAACTCGGCACTGCCCGAGGGCCTGGGGTCAGTAGGGGGCCCCATGTCCCTGGTACCTTTCATAGGCTTTTTTTGGGTATGGTTTGAGTGTGAGCGAGGACACAGGGGCCCCATGATCCCCCATTGCCCCGGTGCCCCAAGAGTTGTCAGTCTGCCCCTTGTTAGGACTACAGAGCACCTCCCCTCTCATCATCTACATAACATAGGTGGCAGTTGTCCTGTAGTAAGATGACATAAACCCCAGCTATGACGTGCAGGGCTGCTGTTAGAAACCATAGGGCCCCATACAGCCAACCTGAAAGCCCCCCCCCCCCAATAAAAAACACAGTTATGAATGAACACATCAGTACCGATTGCTCATTGTGTTCATTCAGGAAAGGAATGGGCTGGTAAATGTGACATATTTGCCAGGCCCTTCCCCACTCTCCATCCTGAGGGACCCTATTGTGTGCTTGCTGGTGGGAAGGAGAGAAGGCAGCACTGTGGGGGCACACGGGGGGGAGGGGGGGGCTGGGCAGTAGGGGAAATGTATGGTGCACAGGGAGGGTGATGGGTGCGGCAGGAGGGGCAATTACTGGGACCGATCGACTGTCTGTCTCCCTGCTGCAGCTGAAAGTCAGGAGAAGAAGCCATCGTTCAGCTGCTGCAGAGAGAGCCATACAGGGGATCTGCTCCAGTAATTGCCCCCTTCCCCCACCCCAGCTGTGCTGATCACCTTCTCTGCCCACATCCAATTCACCCATCTGCCTGGGCCCCCCTGCTGGTCTGGGCCCCGTACAGGAGGACTGGTGGTACCCCCTCATCCACAGCCCTGATGATGTGTATTGTACAGTTCCATTGGTCCAGCTTGGCACGATGTAAGTTTGTATATCTTATACCTGAAGGGCCGACAATCTCTGTAGTAGTTGGTGCTACTACAATAATAGTGGGTTCCTCTGGGTCCCGTCCCGATCAGACTTACCTATGTACTCTGAACGCAGGAAGTCACTTGCTCAGCACCGCTGCCATTCACAGAACGCCTTGTATTTTTTTTTTTTTAATTAATATAAGTCATTCTCTGATTGGAAGAGGTGCACAGCAGGGGTGGTGATGGCACAATCTCCACCTCATCTATTCAGAGAACACCTTGTATTCATTGAAAAAAAAAATACAAGATGTTCTGTGAATGGCAGCAGTGCTGAGCAAGTGAATTTCTGCATTCAGAGTACAGAAGTGAAGTTGGCAAAAGTCAAGGAAGATCGCAGCTATCACTGTAGTTGTCAGCTGCCCCAGGAGCCCCCCAGGTATGAGATATACATATGTATACCAAGCTGGACCAATGGATCTATACAATACGGATCATACCTGGACCTCGGCTCCACTTTCTTCTCTCAACCACTCCATCCATAAACTGACAATAGGTTAGAAGTCCCGTAATAATCTTCCTGAACTGTCTTTAAGGCTACGTTCACATCCAAGCAAGTTACAGTCAATGCACAAAGGAAAAATGAGCCTTAAAAAAAAATGCCTCGTTTTGCGAGGGGGGGGGGGGGGCGCTAATAGAAAAAGTATGACAGTGCTGTTCATGTAGTGCGACTTTACACTCTCTGCCATCAAAGAAGCATCAAAGTCACGTGTTAGAGTTAGAGTTAAAGTGTTACTAAACCCCGGACCCCGCAGTCACTATATCCGCTCTCCCCGGACCCTGCATTCACTATATCCGCTCTCCCCGGACCCTGCATTCACTATATCCGCTCTCCCCGGACCCTGCATTCACTATATCCACTCTCCCCGGACCCTGCATTCACTATATCCGCTCTCCCCAGACCCCGCATTCACTATATCCGCTCTCCCAGGACTCTGCATTCACTATATCCGCTCTCCCAGACCCCACATTCACTATATCCGCTCTCCCAGGACTCTGCATTCACTATATCCGCTCTCTCCCCGGACCCCGCATTCACTATATCCGCTCTCCCCGGACCCTGCATTCACTATATCCGCTCTCCCAGGACCCTGCATTCACTATATCCGCTCTCCCCGGACCCCACATTCACTATATCCGCTCTCCCCAGGACCCTGCATTCACTATATCCGCTCTCCTCGGACCCAGCATTCACTATATCCGGTCTCCCCAGACCCTGCATTCACTATATCAGCTCTCCCCGGACCCCGCATTCACTATATCCGCTCTCCCGGACCCTGCATTCACTATATCCGCTCCCCCCGGACCCTGCATTCACTATATCCGCTCTCCCCGGACCCAGCATTCACTATATCCGCTCTCCCCGGACCCTCATTCACTATATCCGCTCTCCCCGGACCCTGCATTCACTATATCCGCTCTCCCCAGACCCCGCATTCACTATATCCGGTCTCCCAGGACCCTGCATTCACTATATCCACTCTCCCCTGACCCTGCATTCACTATATCCGCTCTCCCCAGACCCCGCATTCACTATATCCGCTATCCCAGGGCTCTGCATTCACTATATCCGCTCTCCCCAGACCCCACATTCACTATATCCGCTCTCCCCGGACCCTGCATTCACTATATCCGCTCTCCCCGGACCCTGCATTCACTATATCCGCTCTCCCCGGACCCTGCATTCACTATATCCGCTCTCCCAGGACCCTGCATTCACTATATCCGCTCTCCCCGGACCCCACATTCACTATATCCGCTCTCCCCACACCCCGCATTCACTATATCCGCTCTCCCGGACCCAGCATTCACTATATCCGGCTCTCCCGGACCCTGCATTCACTATATCAGCTCTCCCCGGACCCCGCATTCACTATATCCGCTCTCCCAGGACCCTGCATTCACTATATCCGCTCTCCCCGGACCCTGCATTCACTATATCCGCACTCCCCGGACCCAGCATTCACTATATCCGCTCTCCCCGGACCTGCATTCACTATATCCGCTCTCTCCCCGGACCCTGCATTCACTATATCCGCTCTCCCAGGACCCAGCATTCACTATATTCGCTCTCCCCGGACCCTGCATTCACTATATCCGCTCTCCCAGGACCCAGCATTCACTATATTCGCTCTCCCCGGACCCTGCATTCACTATATCTGCTCTCCCAGGACCCAGCATTCACTATATTCGCTCTCCCAGGACCCAGCATTCACTATATTCGCTCTCCCCGGACCCTGCATTCACTATATCCGCTCCCCCAGACCCGCATTCACTATATCGCGGTCTCCCAGGACCCGCATTCACTATATCCGCTCCCCGGACCCTGCATTTACTATATATCCGGTCTCCCCGGACCCTGCATTCACTATATCCGCTCTCCAGCCGCTCCGCTCTCCCAGGACCCTGCATTCACTATATCCGCTCTCCCGGACCCAGCATTCACTATATCCGCTCTCCCCGGACCCTGCATTCACTATATCCGCTCTCTCCGGACCCTGCATTCACTATATCCGCTCTCCCGGACCCTGCATTCACTATATCCGCTCTCCCCGGACCCTGCATTCACTATATCCGCTCTCCCCAGACCCTGCATTCACTATATCCACTCTCCCCGGACCCAGCATTCACTATATCCGGTCTCCCCGGACCCCGCATTCACTATATCTGGTCTCCCCGGACCCTGCAGTCACTATATCCGCTCTCCCCGGACCCTGCATTCACTATATCCGCTCTCCCGGACCCTGCATTCACTATATCCGCTCTCCCCGGACCCGGCATTCACTATATCCGCTCCCCCGGGCCCTGCATTCACTATATTCGCTCCCCCCGGACCCGGCATTCACTATATCTGCTCCCCCCGGACCCTGCATTCACTATATCCGCTCTCCCCAGACTCTGCATTCACTATATCCGGGCTCCCCGGACCCCGCATTCACTACATCTGGTCTTCCGGGACCCTGCATTCACTATATCCGCTCTCCCCGAATCCTGCATTCACTATATCCGCTCTCCCCGGATCCTGCATTCACTATATCTGTTCTCCCCGGATCATAGTGCCGCGCACTCCCAGGGAGCACGCACAGGCTGGAAATGATGGGCACCATTTATGAACGGCAACCCGCTCCTGCACTGCTCCCGCCCGGCCGTTTATATACGTGGGCCAGACAGGAAGTGGTTAACAAAATAAAGCATGGAGAAAAAGATGGATGAGTGAGTTTGCTTTAAATATTAGAAATGGATTAAATAGGGTTTTCAGTTTCCGGTGCTCAGATGCCGTGTAGCTTTAACATTCAAAATATAAAAAAAAAAAATCTTCATGTTGCTGGGTTGTATCTCCTGTCTTTCTGTATAATGTTTCTAAAAATTCTTAATAAATATATTGAAATATAATTTAAAAAAAATCATCATGTTGGTGGGTTGCATCTCCTGTCTTTCTGTATAATGTTTCTAAAAATTCTTAATAAATATATTGAAATATAGAAAAAAAAAAATCATCATGTTGCTGGGTTGCATCTCCTGTCTTTCTGTATAATGTTTCTAAAAATTCTTAATAAATATATTGAAATATAGAAAAAAAAATCATCATGTTGGTGGGTTGCATCTCCTGTCTTTCTGTATAATGTTTCTAAAAATTCTTAATAAATATATTGAAGTCTAAAAAAAAAAATTGTCATGTTGGTGGGTTGCATCTCCTGTCTTTCTGTATAATGTTTCTAAAAATTCTTAATAAATATATTGAAATATAATAAAAAAAAAAATCATCATGTTGGTAGGTTCCATGTCCTGTCTTTCTGTATAATGTTTCTAAAAATTCTTAATAAATATATTGAAAAATATAAAAAAAAATTATCATGTTGGTGGGTTGCATCTCCTGTCTTTCTGTATAATGTTTCTAAAAATTCTTAATAAATATATTGAAATATAAAAAAAAAAATCATCATGTTGGTGGGTTGCATCTCCTGTCTTTCTTTATAATGTTTCTAAAAATTCTTAATAAATATATTGAAATATAAAAATAAAAAAAAAACTCATCATGTTGGTGGGTTGCATCTCCTGTCTTTTTATAATGTTTCTAAAAATTCTTAATAAATATATTGAAATATAATAAAAAAAAAATCATCATGTTGGCGGGTTGCATCTCCTGTCTTTCTGTATAATGTTTCTAAAAATTCTTAATAAATATATTGAAATATAAAAAAAAAAAAAAATCATCATGTTGGTGGGTTGCATCTCCTGTCTTTCTGTATAAAGTTTCTAAAAATTCTTAGTAAATACATTTGAATATTAAAAAAAAAAAAAAATTGTCATGTTGGTGGGTTGCATCTCCTGTCTTTCTGTATAATGTTTCTAAAAATTCTTAATAAATATATTGAAGTAAAAAAAAAAAAATTGTCCTGTTGGTGGGTTGCATCTCCTGTCTTTCTGCATAATGTTTCTAAAAATTCTTAATAAATATATTGAAATATAAAAAAAAAAAAATCGTCATGTTGGTGGGTTGCATCTCCTGTCTTTCTGTATAAAGTTTCTAAAAATTCTTAATAAATATATTGAAATATAAAAAACAAAATCAATACACATGCTATAAATTCAGTGGACCTGTTGGACATAACCTTTTTGTTTACTGAAAAAAATTGGATCAATATCAAATAATACGCAGGAATGCCGCCAACATTAGACTTTTGTGACATTATTGGATGTTGTATAAAATTTCTAAGGCGAGTCTATTAAATACAGGGGTTTAATGAGCATTGATACTTCATGGGAGGCGCGATCGGTTTATCGATATGGAGGACACCGAGTGTCTGGAAATGCTGATCCAGCTGATATTGAAAAAAACCGCATGAGGACAGCGGCTGATATCTTTTCGCACTGCTGGTGTTCAAGAGTTGGACAGAACAATAATGTCATAGAGGAACTGCAGCAACTTTCGGGTGAATGCTCAGCGTGTTGGGATGGACAATCTTTAGATCTTTGCTTATTACTGATGATATTTTTTTTTCCATGTATGGGCACCGTGTGATCGTTATGGAGGTTCTCCACCTTACCTGCTGTGATAGGTGAACAGCGAGGCGTTCTTGGTTCCCCATGGCCCACAACGTACAGTATAATTCACAATCTTGCTGCTGATTATGGGCTTCCTCCATTTCACCCATGCAGAGGTAGAGCTGTTGGGTTCCACCTGGATATGGCTGGGTGGTAGTGGTGGGATCCGCTGGGATTTAAAATCTGCAGATCAAACAGATTATACAAGAAGCTGAAATGTAGATCAGAATCAACCGTACCCTCCCTATGGGTCTGATGATATCAGTATTTCTGTGCTCAAAGCGGTACATTTTTTTGCATGGAAATAGGTCGTTTTTTTTTTTTATTGTAGGACTGTAATATTTAGGAATAACTCACTGAAATCTGTCCGAACAAGAGTCTAGTAAACATCCCGGGGATGATAAAACTTGAAACACGAAATAATAAATTATAATATAATAAAGAATCATAAAAAATAATAATATAATAATAATAAATTTAATTCAATAATATAATCAAACCAAAAACACTGAAATGTGAAATATAGCGCCAAGTTCGCACATCGCTGAGCAAAGTCGCAGAATCGTTTTCAGTGTCTGATGAGGAATTTCCCCCACGAATCATTATCACTCAATTCTGCAAGTGGTTCTGATTTACTATCGCTGTTCTCTAGCCGGTCTAAAACCGCTTTTGACCTAAAGGGACGCTTTTTTGGACGCCATGGACGTTTCTCAGTTTCCAGGCAGAAAGAACAGTAAAAATGCAGGCAGGGCGCCGGACAAAGCACTCGGGACAAATGTATGTGAAATGGTTTGATACAGGAATGTTATACTATGTGATTTTAGTGAATTTAGTGAATGTCACTTTTTGACATTTTTAAATTTCCCGCCAGTTCCGTCCCCCGTACGTCCCGACGTCACAGGGAACGGAACCCGGAAGACAGATGGTGGCATCAGCTGGAGGACATTGCCGGGGACGCTGCAGGGGGGACATCGGGCACGGGAGCGCAGGACAAGGTAAGTGCAGAAGAGATCCCGGAGCAACGCTGCAGTGTATTCCCGAGTGTAGCTCGGGGGGGTTACCGCTTGTGGTGCTGAAACTTTACGCCGAGCTACACTCGGGAATACCGCCAGGGGGGTTAAAAAAAAATATCATCTTTTGCTTGCCCATGATTGGATGATGGAAGTCAGTAGAGCTTCACCCCCTTCACTAGGGTGTGGGGAAAATTCCCTCACAAAGTGAAAGCCTGTTTGACTTTAGTAAGAGGAAAATCGAACTGCGGCCAATGACAGCCCATAAAAGACACATTTCATATACAAAACGAATGCCAATTGGCTGCTGATGGTGACCGCTAGTTTTGCTTAAGATGTAATATAGCAAACCTACAGCTAATACCGCCCAGTGGGGTGCAAAGTGGGGTGCATAAGTTGTGGTCTGGACTGACTACTAGAGCTGTGGCCACTTGATCAGGGGCGGGCTGACCATTTGGAAACTCGGGCACTGCCCGAGGACCCGGGGTCAGTAGGGGGCCCCATGAGATGCTCCTGGTACCTTTTTCATAGGCTTTTTTGAGTTTGGGCAAGGACACAGGGGCCCCATAATCTCCTATTGCCTGGGGGCCCCATGAGTTGTCAGTCTGCCCCTGCACTTGATATTAATCTCTTTTATTTTGCATGGTGCTGCACAGGAATGGATAATGCAAGGATAAAAGTCTTTCCGGACACCAGGATAGACATTACGACACGCAACACTTCAGGCGGCTAAAAGCCGAGCGTGTTTCATGGTTCCGGTATAGGGCTGGCGGAGGCTGAATCTGCCCCTACACCCTCTCCAGCGCCATGTCCTTGAACAATTGTGCGACTAATTTGTCTCCCTTGAAGGAAAGAGGGATACCATGGGGTCTATAGGAATGGGATGGCGTGCAGGGTGAAGAAGAGGTTGTGAAGGTTGGAGGTGTTAGCTACAGGAGGTAACGTGGTCTGCCTAGGCCAGGGGTAGGCAACCTGTGGCTCTCTAGCTGTTGTGGAACTACATTTCCCTATGAGGCATTGCAACATTACAAGACTGACAGTTACAACTATGACTTGCAGAGGCATGATGGAACTTGTAGTCTTGCAACAGCTGGAGAGCCGCAGGTTGCCTACCCCTGGCCTAGGCAGTTGTAGGTAATAGAGATTCCATCTATGAATCTCCGTGATTTGACTCCTGCAGCCATTTTTCCCCAGTACCATTGGATAATATCATTTTGGAGGGGTGGGCTTAGGTACTTTTTTTTTAGCAGGTCCCAGCCAAGCACTTATGGGTTTCTCACCTAGGCACGTCCTTCCCCACTTTCCACCTGAAGACTCCTGGAATACTGACATCAAACATCTCAAGAGGCTTCGGGTTAATCTCCAACTGCAGTGGTCAATCTCAACTGCACTGGCACTCATCATCAGGGGCCAGCTCAAGGAACCCAGGAAGGACAGCCGGCCTTCTGATGACATCAGAAGAGAAGATGGCAGCACATGACGGTACTGAGATGGAGTAGCAGCTGACACTAGACAATGCTGGATTCGTTGGACTGGTAAGTATGGTTTTTGGAAGCAGAGCTCCACCCAAAAGGGGAAGTTCCGCTTTAAGTCTTTGTCCCTTGCTCCCCATTAAGGATTGGCACATTTGGGGAGGGGGGGGGGGCCAGCTAATCTGAACAGGAACAGCCGCTCCCACAGAAGAGAAGATGGCAGCACTAAGGCAGGGTGGGTAGCAGTGGACACTAGACAATGCTGATTGGTGTAAATGGCCCTTAAAGCAAGCTCCCAATCAGGGGAAGTTCTGCTTTGGGAGTCCCCGCTTCCCCATTAAACTGTCACCTTTGGGAGGCCTCAGGGGGGGGGACTTGTAGCGGGTACCCAGCTGGAGGGCCACAGTGGGCAACTGTTGGCCCACCCCTTTGGGAGTCATGCTTGTAGCTGTCATTTGCAATGCCTCATGGGACTTGTAGTTCTACAACAGCTGGAGGGTTGTCCTAAGGCGATCTGAAGCAGATGTTGTCCTCCCTCCACGTAGTCTTGTGGGGCACGTGACAGGTCCCAGAAGACTACGGGGCCATTCACAAAGCGCAGCGCTTCTCGCGCATGCGCAGTGGGACCCGGCTGTGAAGCTGCAAGCTGTCACAGCCGGGTGCCCACACTGAAGATGCCACGGTGAGAACACCGCTGGACCGAGGGACAGGTAAATGTCTGTACAGTTTTTCTAGCTGCTGCCTTTTTTTTTTTTCAGGTGGAACTCCGCTTTAAGGAGAATTCAGGAGATGAAACAAATCATCCTACATAAGTTGTACATGTTTATCTGTAGCTCTCTCTCCTCTACAGCCTCCTAAAAGACTCATTTTATAAACATGTCTAAGCTCTAGCAGGTAGGGGGCAAGAGATCTGATATCACACACCGCAGAGCACAGAGAGGAGAGCTCAGTGTAACCTGAGACCTGAGTGGAGGGAATGGACACACCTCCCCCTCCACACAATCTCACAGGTAATCAAGCACAGCTGAGGTTGTCAATCACCCAGTGCTGGAGGTGGAGGGGCGCTGCCATACCCCATGATTCTGTGGTGTCAACATTGCCTGTCCTAAGTGACTTATGCAGATATAAAAGGGAAGGGAGAGCCAACAGAAATCACTACTTTGGATTGAGGCAGGTGCACACTATAGAAGGATATGCTTTGTTCACTTCAGATATTTACAACTACTTTAGGGTAAAACTGGCAAAAAAAAAAAGAAATGAAAGTGGTTGTAGGGGCTGAAGGTTTTTTTTTTTACCTTCAAGCACTCTATATATGAAGGTAAAAAACCTTCTCTGTGCTGCTCCCCAGCCCCCACCCCAATACTTACCTGAGCCCAATCTCGATCCAGGGATGTGCACAAGAGCAAAGGCTCTCCCGGGTCTCTCCTTCCTTATTGGCTGACACACAGCAGCGGGAGCCATTGGCCAGGAGAGCTGGTGGAGGACCACAGAAAAGGGGATTGAGACTGCTCTGCACAAAGCAGGTAAGTACACTGCTCAAAAAAAATTAAAGAAACACTTTTTAATCAGAGTCTAGCATCAAGTCAATAAATCTCCTTGGATATTGATCTGGTCAGGTAAGTCGCAGAGGGGGTTGTTATTCAGTTTCAGCAGCTTTGGTGTTAATGAAATTAATAACAGGTGCACTAGATGGGCAACAATGAGAAGACCCCCAAAACAGGAATGGTTTTACAGGTGGAGGTCGCTGACATTTTTTCCCTACTCATCTTTTCTGTCTGTTTTTTCACTAGTTTTGCATTTGGCTAGGGTCGGTGTCACTACTGGTAGCATGAGGCCATACCTGGACCCTACAGAGGTCGCACAGGCAGTCCAACTACTCCAGGATATCACATCAATACCTGCCATTGCCAGAAGGTTTGCTGTGTCTCCCAGCACAGTCTCAAGAGCATGGAGGAGATTCCAGGAGACAGGTAGTTACTCTAGGAGAGCTGGACAGGACCGTAGAAGGTCCTTAACCCATCAGCAGGACCAGTATCTGCTCCTTTGTGCAAGGAGGAACAGGATGAGCCCTGCCAGAGCCCTACAAAATGACCTCCAGCAGGACACTGGTGTGAATGTCTCTGACCAAACAATCAGAAACAGACTTCATGAGGGTGGCCTGAGAGCCCGACATCCTCTAGTGGGCCCTGTGTTCACTGCCCAGCACCATAGAGCACAATTGGCATTTGCCATTGAACACCAGAATTGGCAGGTCCACCACTGGCTCCCTGTGCTTTTCACAGATGAGAGCAGGTTCACCCTAAGCACATGTGACAGACGTGAAAGGGTCTGGAGAAGCCGTGGAGAACATTATGCTGCCTGTAACATGGTTCAGCATGACTGTTTTGGTGGTGGGTCAGTGATGGTCTGGGGAGGCATATCCATGGAGGGACACACAGACCTCTACAGGCTAGACAATGGCACCCTGACTGCCATTAGGTATCGGGATGAAATCCTTGGACCCATTGTCAGAGCCTACACTGGTGCAGTGGGTCCTGGGTTCCTCCTGGTGCAGTGGGTCCTGGGTTCCTCCTGGTGCAGTGGGTCCTGGGTTCCTCCTGGTGCAGTGGGTCCTGGGTTCCTCCTGGTGCCCGACAATGCCCAGCCTCATGTGGTGAGAGTATGCAGGCAGTTCCTGGAGGATGAAGGAATTTATACCATTGAATGGCCCCCACGCACCTGACCTAAATCCAATAGAACCCCTCTGGGATGTCATTTTTCGATCCATCCAAAGCCGCCAGGTTGCACCTCAGACTGTCCAGGAGCTCAGTGATGCCCTGCTCCAGATCTGGGAGGAAATCCCCCAAGACACCATCCATCGTCTCATTAGGAGCCTTCCCCGACGTTGTCAGACCATTCTGAGTTGCTGCATAGATATCCAGCATGAGATTTTTCCCCATTGGCATCCGAGATGTTTTCAAAGTGTTCCTTTAATTTATTTGAGCCGTGTATAACATGTTTGAAATTTTAAAAAAAACCTGAGCCTTTAATATCATTTTAAAAGTGGAAAGTGAAGTTCCCCTTTAAGTCTGGATAAGCGTTTACAAGAATCAAGCTCAGGGATCTTAGCTCGTATTTTTCTTATGGACTCAGGTTCCTCAAGCTACGCCATTGCTCCTGAGAAACTTGACCAATGATGACCAATGAGAAATATCATCCTGTCTGGGACTGTCTGCATCTGTCTTTTTTCCGCTTCACTTTTAACCACTTGCCTACCGGGCACTTAACCCCCTTCCTTACCAGGCCAATTTTCAGCTTTCAGCGCTGCCGCACTTTGATTGACAATTGCGCGGTCATGCAACATTTTACCCATATGAAATTTTGATAATTTTTTTCTCACAAATAGAGCTTTCTTTTGGTGGTATTTAATTGCCACTGGGCGCTTTACTTTTTGCGCTATAAATAAAAAAAGTGCAAAAAATGTGAAAAAAAAAAATTTTTTTTTCTTTGTTTCTATTATAAAATTTTTCAAACAGGTATTTTTTCTCCTTCACTGATGTGTGTTGATGAGGCAGCACTGATGGGCACTGATAGGCAGCACTGATGGGCACTGATAGGCAGCACTAAAGGGCACTGATAGGCAGTACTAATGAGGTGGCACGGATAGGCGGCACTGATAGACAGCACTAATGAGGTGTCAAGGATAGGTGGCACTAATATGCAGCACTGATAGGCGGCACTGATAGGTGACACTGATGATGGGTACTGATAGACGGCACTGACTGGCATCACTGCTGGGCACTGACTGGCGGCACTGACTGGCACAACCCCTGGGCACTGACTGGTGGCACTGACTGGCTGCACTGGTGGGTGGCACTGGTGGGCAGCACTGGTGGGTGGGCACAGGTGGGTGGCACTTCTGGGCACAAGTAGGTGACACTTCTGGGCACAGGTGTGTGACACTGCAGAGTGGCACAGGTGGGTGCACTGCTGGGCACAGGTGGGTGATCTGGGCACAGGTGGGCGGAGCTAGTGGGCGCACTGCTGGGCACAGGTGGGCGGAACTTGCGGGTGGCACTGCTGGGCACCGATCATCAGGGCGATCATCAGTGCCCTGATGATCGGTGCCGATCCCCGCTCTGACAACTGCCGGTTCTCGGCAGTACTTTCCTCACGATCTGACAGCGTGAGGAAAGTGCAGCCGAGAACCGGCACTTGCATTTCCCTGTGATCAGCGTGTCATTGGACACCGCTGATCACGTGGTAAAAGGCCGCTGGGATCGGCCTTTTACCACATCATGTGATCAGCTGTGTCCGTAGGACACAGCGATCACGGAGATCGCCGGGTGCGTGCCCCCTGGGGTACGCGCAGGAGAGCGCGTTCTGGGGGGACGTCATATGGCTCGGAGTACCAGAGACCGTTCTTCTTTCAGACATGAGGACACAATATTGAATATATAGGATGGGCAGGTGGACACCTTACCTGGTGGGGCAGTTGGAATCTGTCTGGTTCTTCCCTCCCACATGACGGTCTGCATTTCTTGCTTCTTATAGTATGTCACCAGCCGGACTTGGTACAGCTGTCCAGGAACTGTAACGATGATGAAGAAGAGGAATAAGGCCACATTCACACCTGAGCGTTTTGTAGCACAAAACTCAAAGCCCCAAAACAGTCAGGGGGGAAAAAAAAATCTATATTACTTTATGGAGATGGTTCACATCACCACTCCATGTTGCCTGCTTGAAGCTCAAAAGAGTTTTGGAGCTACATTTGTAGCTCAAATTGGGCAGATTTGTGCATTTTTGGCGCATATTTATTCCCATAGAAAAGAACAGAAATGTGCGAATGGTATGTTTTTGCACGCTTTCGCGATTTTAAAACGCCGTTTGAGCGATTTTCTGCTCAAATGAAAAAATGTTACAAGAGAAAAGTACTAATATATGAATAAATAAATGTTGAATAAAATTAAAAATGCACATATAAATACAAAAAACGTGATAAATAAATAATTAACCCCTAACCTTAAAAAAAAAAAAAGAAATAATAATAAAATAAACACCCAAACCCAAACAAAAAAATACAATAATAAATAATAATAATAAATTATTATTGTTATTATTTTATTACCTTTTTAAAGGGGGGAATTAAGGTTATGGGTTAAATATTTACTAATTTATTTATATATAGTATTTATGATTATTTTTTATTTTTTGTGTATTTATTTTACATTTTTTATTATTATTATTATAAATGTATTTTTTTTTTTGTTCGGGTTTAAGTGTTTATTTTTTATTATTATTATTATTATTATTATTATTATTATATTTAACATTTTTTTAAGGTTTAGGGGGTTAAGGTTAGGGGTTAATTATTATTTATTTATGATTATTTTTAGTATATAGTATTTACTTATGATTATTTTTTTATTTATGTGTATTTATTTTACATTTATTTATTAAATTTGGCAGCACAGTGGCTAAATGGTTAGCATTTCCACTTGGCAGCACAGGTCAGGGCATTCTCCTCTCATAGGGTCTCCTTTCGGGGGAGTCCCACTTAGTACTCGAGGTGGCCTCCTGAAGAAAGTGGTCCACCCGGTTTCAGTCGGGTGGACCAAGTGAGTGCCTCAGTCCTCGTCAGGAGCCTTGCGCCTCAGGGGATTAGGGCTAGGGCCGTTTCTCTTCAGAGGAGGGCCAGACGTACACCCTGTGCACTTTTTTTGTGTGCTTCACTTTTTGCGTAATCACTTTTTTTTGCACTGGGTGCTAGTTTTATTAGTGTGCTCACTAAACCAAGGGACTTCGAAAAGAAGGAAAAAAAAATCTGTTCTAATCAGTGTCCAGTAGGGGCGCTCCGCCATCATTCTTGCCTTTTGGCAGGGATGGCTGGCTGTATAGCACCTCTGCTGGTATGATGAGGGCTCTGAAGGTTAGTACCAGCTGGAAGAGAAACCAAGGCACCCACAGGCTGTTGGGGCCCGGGAGTAATTTCCCCTGGGAGAACTGGAGGGGCCCAGTTCCTCCTGATTTGATTTACCTTGTCTGGCTAGGGGCCGGGGAGGCAGAGAGTCCACGAAGCAGTGTCCCCTGAGAGTGGTCGCATGAGGGGTGCTCTTAGTACACATGGGGGTGGAATTCCAAGTGTGAAAAGTACCCATGCTCACTGTTCTAGACACTTTTTCTGCACTGCGCCTTTTAGGGCAAGGCCTTTTGGCTAAGTCCAGGGGAATTTTTTTGCTACGGGCCTCAGGGCCTATCTAGTGCACAATTGCACGGCCACTTATCTATTTATTTATTTATTTTCTACCCACTGTTTTGTCACCTTCCTTTTTGTGTGTGTTTTTTTCTCACTGGGATGGAGGGTGTGGGTCCTTGGTCCTGCCTTGAAGTCTAGGGGGGAGGATAGGTGGCCATTAAGTTCTTTCCTCTCCTGTTCCTGGGGGGTCTCTTCTGGAGAGCTCCCTGACCCAGTACTTGGTGGGTGGCTTCGGCCAGCCACAAGGAAAGGGGTCCGCCAGGCCTTTTGGCTAGGTGGGCCATGTGGAAACCTTTGTCCCTGTCAGGAGCCTTGCGCCCAGGGGGATCAGGGTAAAGGTCCTTCCCCTTCGGGGGGTGGACTAAAGTACACCCCTAAGTGTACTTTTTTGTCTTTGTGTTTTGCACTTGCATTTTTTTTTTTCACTTACGGGTTTTTGTTTACGGACTTTGGGTGCAATGCCCAGCTATAATACCTTGGTCCTGTGTCCCAGCAGCAAGGAAGCATGTTTTCTGATGGAAGCACCCAGGCAGGGACCCATTACAGGGACATTATAAATTCAAGTTCTGCAATAAAGCATCAGAAAAGCACACCCCTAGACTGACTACTGAGCCAAGTGAGGGACTGACTATTGCTTGTGCATCTACTGTGAAAGAACCACGGGACCTAAACAGCAAGCCCTTAAGGGGGTAAGTGCTACCATGACTTGACATGTACATTGCAGCCTGATGGATCCGGCCTATTAAGTCTGAACAGGACCCAGGCAGATCTTGACCACATTCCACCTCAGGTGGCCCTGGTTGACCACATTCCACCCCAGGTGGCCCTGGTTGACCACATTCCACCCCAGGTGGCCTTGGTTGACCACATTCTACCCCAGGTGGCCCTGGTTGACCACATTCCACCCCAGGTGGCCCTGGTTGACCACATTCCACCCCAGGTGGCCCTGGCTGACCACATTCCACCTCAGGTGGCCCTGGTTGACCACATTCTGCCCCAGGTGGCCCTGGTTTACCACATTCCACCCCAGGTGGCCCTGGTTGACCACATTCTACCCCAGGTGGCCCTGGTTGACTACATTCCACCCCAGGTGGCCCTGGTTGCCCACAGACTCAGACAAGGTAACTCACCGAGATCAGTTATCTCATATTGTTTCCTCTTCTTCTTCAGTTTAATTGGCCCGCGGTCCCAGTCATTCTTCCCTTGCCATGGACAGGATACAGCAGGATCTGGGGTAGGACACACCCGACGGTAATAAAGCCGGTAACCAGTGATCAGGAGGTCGGCACGGGGCAGCTGCCAGCTGACAAATAAGGAATCGGTGTGGGCGATGACTTTCAGTTGGACTTGTGCCTGCTCCACTGTACAGAAAAAAAAGAATGGATTTTTACATATTACAAAATATATGAAAAATATTTTTAAAAAATATATATTTTTTAAAATTTATTCTTCAGATTCTTTTGAACATATAAAAAAGTCATTTTAACTTATATTTTTACATATATTTGTAAATGCATTCCAAAGAAGTACATGGAATGTAATTTTAAAAACAAAACAGTATATTGAAAAATGTATTTTTAAAAATATTTTTCATATATTTTGTAATAAAAATGCATTTCATAATACAGTGCATATATATATTATTATTATTATACAGGATTTATATCGCGGCAACAGTTTGCTCAGCGCTTTACAATATAAAGGGAGACAATACAGCAACAATACAGTTCAATACAAGAGGGATAGGAGGGCCCTGATCCTGGGAGCTTACAATCTAAGATAGATATAATAGATTTAGATTTATATATATATATATATATATATATATATATATATATATATTTATATTAGTGGTATTTCAAATATATGTCAATATATTTGGGAAGAATATTTTTAAAATCTATTTATAATATATTTTTCTTCCACGTGGGTAACTAGAATTGTTCCTATACACAAAGTATATATATATATTTTTATGGACTTTATAAATACCATAGACTCCAGTTATAAAAATGAAAATGATCTTTTATTACACAAACAATAGTTACAATATACTGAAAGACATATAAAAAAAATGCTTAAGCAAAGACTATCGTTGTGTATTGGAACAATTCTAATTTATTACTAATGTATTAAATTGAATTAATTTACTACATTTGTTCATTCATTTACACGTTTTTTTTTAAATTAAATATTAATTTATTCAGGCCACTGGAATAAATTTTGCACATGCGTGCATTTATGCGCATACGTGCCTAAATTATACTTATAAGCTCCTCTCCGAATGGAGCTTTAGGGCATTTTTTTTTTTTTTATTATTATTATTATTATTATTATACACGGTTTATATAGCGCCAACAGTTTGCTCAGCGCTTTACAATATAAAAGGAGACAGCGAATTACGGCGGTCCCATGACCCTAAAACCCCGCCCACCTCCATGCTTCTGAAACTCTTGAAGAGCTGGGAGGCACCGGTGCAAAGGGGTTAAGGGAACATCAGGGCTGGGAGGGATGGGGTTAAGCGGAAGAGGTCCAAGTCCTTAGTACACGAGAACTTTTCTGCGATACTACATGACTCTATGGGAGGAGATTTACTAAAACTGGCGCAGACAGAATCTGGTGCAGCTGTGCATGTTAACCAATCAGCTTCCAGGTTTTAGCCCCCATGCACATAGGACGTTTTGATAACGCTGGTAATATTAGCTGTGTAAAGTCGGGTTAAAAACGTGAGTTTTTCAGCTTTTCTTTAGCATTTTTGCATTAGAGTTTTGCCGCGTTTAGCTGTGTTTTCCCACGTTTTCCATTTGCGTTTTTAGTGCCCAAAAAAAAAATTTTTTTTCATCCAAAAATTTCCAAAAACGCTGGTACGTGGCGGTTTACTGCATTTTAACGCGTTTTTCAAAAACTCCTCTAGCAACCCACTAGTCTTGGGTTTTTACCAGCCACGTGAGTTTTTCAGCTTTTTTTTAGCGGTTCTGCATTAGTGTTTAGCTGTATTTTTTCACGTTTGCGTTTTTTTTTTTACCCCAATTTTTTTTTTTTCCGGTCAAAAAAAGAATAAAAACACCGGTTCGCCGCGATTTACCATGTTTTGCCGCGTTTTTCAGCGTTAGCCCTCATTGCACACTTGACGTTTTGACAACGCTGGTAACATTAGCTGTGTAAAGTCACGTTAAAAAAGGTGAGTTTTTCAGGTCTTTTTTTTTTTGTGTTTTTTGCATTAGCGTTTAGTGGCATTTTCCCGTGTTTTTTAGCGCTTTTTCTTACAAAAAAAAAAATATTTTTTTTTTGCAAAAAAAAGTCCAAAAACGCCATTTTGCAGCGTTTTGCTGCGTTAGAGCGTTTTTACAGCTAGAAAACTCCTCTAGAAGTCCACTAGTTCTGGTTTTTTTTCCAGCCAAAAAACGTTGATTCCAGTCTGTGTGTGTATGGACACCGAGGATAACATGCTGGGGGGTTTACTGGCTGTAGAAAAAAAACACCAAAAGCCAAAAAACAGCAGCCGCTGTAAAAACATCCAGTGTGCGTGAGGACTTATTTTCAATGCTTAATTAACCACTTCCCGTCCGGCGCATGTTTATAAACGTCCTCCCTGCTTGTGCGCGCTCCCTGTAAGCGCACAGCACCGCAATTCGGTGCCCGCTGTGTCCTCCGGAAACAGTAGAACACCGATCGTCGTACGGGACCTCTATGCGAGGTCCCGATCATGTGATCACTGATTGGCCAATCAGTGATCACATGAAGAGTAGTAAGCAAGATGTCACTTCTGACATCATTGCTTACTACGTGTGAAATCTGTGAATGATCACAGAGGTCATATGGTACAGGGCTATTCACAACAGCCTTGTACCATGTGACAAGCTGTGACCAATCACAGCTCACACAGTATTTCTCAATGGCTGCAGGAATGCAGCCAGAGAGAAGGAGAAATTATTACTTTTACAGCCTTAATGCGTGAAAAAACAATCAAAGAGAAAAAAAAATCTTCATCACCCCCCACAAGTAGTACAGTGTCACTATGGTGACACTACTGCTAGGGTGACAGTATGTAAAAAAAATAATAATAATAATAATATAAAAAAATAAAATATAAAATTGTAAAAAAAATTAGAAAAATTATGATTTCTGGTTATAAACTAATTTGTTGTTTTTTTTTTTACTAAAAAGATAACTGAATACATTTGGGCCCAGATTTATGAAGAAAGATTTATTTATTTGCAAAATGTTATAAAGAAAAACACTTTTATTTCAAAATGTTTGGACTTTTTGATTTATATAGCAAAAAAAAAAAAAAATCCCAGCGGTGAATAAATACCACCAAAATAGAGTTTTATCTGTCTCAAAAACATGCTTAAAAAATTCCTATGGGTACAGTGTTGCATGACCGCGCAATGGTCATTCAAAGTGTGATAGCGCTGAAAGCTGAAAATTGGCCTGGACAGGAAGGGGGTGAAAGTGTCCGGACTGGAAGGGGGGAAAGTGTCCGGACTGGAAGGGGGGGAAAGTGTCCGGACTGGAAGGGGGGGGAAAGTGTCCGGACTGGAAGGGGGGAAAGTGTCCGGACTGGAAGGGGGGGGGAAAGTGTCCGGACTGGAAGGGGGTGAAAGTGTCCGGACTGGAAGGGGGGGAAAGTGTCCGGACTGGAAGGGGGGGAAAGTGTCCGGACTGGAAGGGATAAACAAGCTGAAGGTAGAAGCTGATTGGCTGCCATGCGCAGCTGCACCAGATCGTGAGTGCTCCAGTTTTAGTAAATCTCCTCCATGTGTAAAATGTTTTTCATGCATGGTGTGGATGCCATGGAAAACACAATAAATGTCTTGACCACACACTGCTCACCATATGTAGAGCTCTGGAGCTTGTGTTCAGCAAGACTTCACCACTCACGCACCACAGTGCCCCCAAAATATTAAAATGTAAAATTACCAAAATATTGCCCACCTCTTCAACTCCTGATACCATTGTCATCCCCCATCCTTCCAGCAGATGGCAGCATGCACCCAGCATTAGCTGCACAGACCCAGAAATCCATGAACCAGCACTCCGGGCTTCATACCCACCCACCCACGCATGCACAGTCTGCTCTACTTTACTCTTGCAAAAAAAAAAAAAAAAAAAAAAAAGGAGTTGTGAAAGCATGGACTGCACATGCACAGGTGGGGAGGGAGGCCAGGAGTGCTCATTCGTGGATTTCCAGGGCCACATGGGTGCATCCTGCCATCTGCAGGATGGACTGGGGAGAACAATGGTATCAGCAGCTTTACATTGTGGAAATATATTTTAAATATATTTTAAAAATACATTCTTAATATATTCTTCCCAAATATATTGACATATATTTAAAATACTACAATTTTGGCCATATTCATTATATTTCTAAAATATATTTCAACATATTTGTGAATATATTTATTAAAAATATATTTAGAATACATGCTGCAATATGTATCAAAGTGTAATTTGGAATGCATTTATAAGTATATTTAAAAAAAGCTACGTTTAAATGCATTGTTTTTAGATGTTTGAAAATATCTGGAAAATATATTTTGAAAAATATATTTTAAAAATACAATCTTAATATATTTTTCCCGTATATATTGATATATATTTCAAATATAAAAATGTTTCAATATATTTGTGAATAAATGATTAAAAATATATTCAGTACACGTACTGAAATATGTATAAAAGTGTAATTTGGAATGCATTTACAAGAATATTTAAAAATCTAAGTTTAAATGCATTTTTTTAGATGTTCAAAAATATCTGGAACATATATTTTGAAAAATATATTTTAAATATATTTTAAAAATACATTCTTAATATATTCTTCCCAAATAATATTGACATATATTTCAAATACAAACATTTTGACCATATTCAGTATATTTCAAAAATATATTTCAATATATTTGTGAACACATGATTAAAATTATATTCAGAGCACGTGCTGCAATATGTATCAAAGTGTAATTTAGAATGCATTTACAAGTATATTTAAAAATCTAAGTTTAAATGCATTTTTTTTTTTAGATGTTCAAAAATATCTGGAAAATATATTTTGAAAAATATATTTTAAAAATACATTCTTAATATATTATTCCCCAATATATTGACATATATTTCAAATACAAAAATGTTGGCCATATTCAACATATTTCAAAAACATATTTCAATATATTTGTGAATATATTATTAAAAATAAATTCAGAACACAATATGTATCAAAGTGTAATTTGGAATGCATTTACAAGTATATTAAAAAATCTAAGTTTAAATGCATTTTTTTTTTTAAGTATTCAAAAATATCTGCAAAAAATATATTTTGAAAAATAAATTTTAAAATATATGCCATTTTTAAATATATGCCTTTGGAAAATATATTTTAATTTACACTTTTGGAATACATGTTAAAATATATTCGTGTAGACCAATATATTGTAAATATATGTCACATGTATAATTTTCTTTTTTCTAAATATATTGAAAATATATTTCTCCTCCATATGGGAAGTGCGCACGCTACATTCAATGTTGCGTTTCTCAAGAGGCAGGGGATTAGTTTGCTCGTTAAATGATGTTGCTTTTCTCTTTTCAGGCAGTGGATGGAGGGGTTCCTATTCTTCACCTTTACACACATTTATCTACGATCCGGCACAGTGGCTAAATGGTTAGCACTTCCGCCTGGCAGTATTCGGGTCGTTGGTTTAAATCCCAACCACGGCACCACCTGCCTGAAGTTTGCATGTTCTCCCTGTGCCTGTGTGGGTTTCCTCCGGGTACTCCGGTTTTCTCCCACACTCCAAAGACATGCTGTTAGGTTCATTGGATCCTGTCTAAATTGTCCCTAGTATGTGTATGTATGAATGTGAGTTAGGACCTTAGATTGTACGCTCCTTGAGGGTTAGGGACTGATGTGAATGTACAATATATATGTAAAGCGTACATTGATGGCGCAATAGAAGTACCTGAAATAAATAAATGCTCCACAGCGCCCCCACTGTATTAAAATGCTGTGAACAAATGGTGCTAGACAATCCCCAATCCATCCTGCAGATGGCAGGACGCACCCGAAGCTGGAAATCCATGAATGAGCACTACCTGCCTCCTTCCCCTCCTACGCATCATGTACAGTCCTTGTTCGCTCTAACTTTGCTCTCTGCATTCGGACAGGCGGTGAGTTGGCAATGTATCGCCTCCCTACTGCCTGCTTTAACCCTTTGAAACCCACACTACTAGCAAGCCACATGCAAGACAAGGGGTGGGCGGGAGGGATGGCTGCCCTGGGCTCAATGGTTTACTGTAGGGATTGGGGGGCCCTGCTACTAATTCAAGGCTGATGGTTTGGCGTCTGTGCCCCGGGCGCCGGATGATCTTGTCCCGGCACTGATTGCACGTGGGTGTGGGGAGGTTGCAGAGCAGCCCCTTTCACTCGATTGGATCGCATTCGCTAAACGCGACAGCAACAGGGGATATAATGCATGCCGTGGCCACAATGCAACGTGGATGAGGCATGTCAAACAAAGGGTGGCGCCACCGAAGCGACGTCACCCTTTTCCTTCCAGGTGTGCAGGAAATGCTGGGTGCCACCTAAGACATCCACACCGAAGGTCGCAGCCAGCACTCCAGATCGCAGCGCATGAATTTTCTATGGCAAGCGCTTTTTAATCCTCTATCTTGTGAGTTGCCATTTTAATATGTGAATAAATGTTCTCAACTTGCTGCACTTAGATGGCGCCTCCTCTGTCTCCTCATTGGGTGGGTATACACCCGGCTGCTGTCTCGGGGTAACAATTGAGGGGATAGAATGAGAAGGTTCATTTGTGGATTTCCAAGGCTGGGAATCCGGCGCTGGGTGCATTCTGCCATCTACAGGATATCCAAATTTCACTGAGCTGGAAGCAAAGGACTCCCTCAGGGGTGCAAATTAAACTGCCCGTATCATTGAAGTTACAGAGATGACAATTCTGACCGGTGACATGTCCATCCCCAGAAAGTGTGAAGACCCCCGAAATATCACAAACCTTGTGACTGGTTGACTCTTTCTGGAGTGCGCTGCAGCGCCCAGATAGAGGGCGCCCCGTATCCTGCCGAGGTGCTGGCTGAAATCCGCACTTTATATACCGTACCGGGCTGCAGGGAAGAGAGCGTAACCCCGGTCTCATTTCCTCCAACTTCTACCATGGAGACCACACCTGAGGGTGACAAGGAAAGGAATGTCACAAAGCGGGAAGAAATGTGGAATAGTCTACAAGCCTTAGAGAAAAAACTTGTCAATGTATTTGTAAAGTGTTTGTATAGATGTTAGTCCATCGGTGTTTAAACTATAATATAATGCATTAAAGTGTTACTAAACCCCGGACCCTGCATTCACTATATCCGCTCTCCCCGGACCCTGCATTCACTATATCCGCTCTCCCCGGACCCTGCATTCACTATATCCGCTCTCCCCGGACCCTGCATTCACTATATCCGGTCTCCCCCGCATTCACTATATCCGCTCTCCCCGGACCCCGCATTCACTATATCCCCTCTCCCCGGACTCTGCATTCACTATATCCGCTCTCCCCAGACCCTGCATTCACTATATCCGCTCTCCCGGACCCTGCTATTCACTCTCCCCGTACCCTGCATTCACTATCTGCTCTCCCCGTACCCTGCATTCACTATATCCGCTCTCCCTGGACCCCGCATTCACTATATCCGCTTCCCCGGACCCCCGCATTCACTATATCCGCTCTCCCCCCTGCATTCACTGATCCACTTCACGTATATTCACTATATCTCTCTCCCCGGACCCCGCATTCACTATATCAGCTCTCCCCGGACCCTGCATTCACTATATCCGCTCTCCCCGGACCCTGCATTCACTATATCCGCTCTCCCCGCATTCACTATATCCGCTCTCCCCGGACCCGCATTCACTATATCTGCTCTCCCCGGACCCTGCATTCACTATATCCGCTCACCCCGGACCTGCATTCACTATATCCGCTCTCCCCGGACCCCGCATTCACTATATCTGGTCTCCCTGGACCCAGAATTCACTATATCCGCTCTCCCCGGACCCTACATTCACTATATCCGCTTTCCCTGGACCCTGAATTCACTATATCCGATCTCCCCGGACCCTGCATTCACTATATCCGCTCTCCCAGGACCCTGCATTCACTATATCTGCTCTCCCCAGACCCTGCATTCACTATATCTGCTCTCCCCAGACCCTGCATTCACTATATCTGTCTCCCCGGACCCTGCATTCACTATATCCGCTCTCCCCGGACCCTGCCCTGCATTCACTATATCCGCTCTCCCCGGACCCCGCATTCACTATATCCGCTCTCCCGGACCCCGCATTCACTATATCCGGTCTCCCTGGACCCCGCATTCACTATATCTGGTCTCCCTGGACCCTGCATTCACTATATCTGCTCTCCCCAGGACCCTGCATTCACTATATCTGCTCTCCCCGGACCCTGCATTCACTATATCTGATCTCCCCGGACCCCGCATTCACTATATCCGCTTTCCCTGGACCCTGCATTCACTATATCCGGTCTCCCCGGACCCTGCATTCACTATATCCGCTCTCCCCGGACCCTGCATTCGCTATATCTGATCTCCCCGGACCCCGCATTCACTATATCCGCTCTCCCCGGACCCTGCATTCATTATATCTGCTCTCCCCGGACCCTGCACTCACTATATCTGGTCTCCCCGGACCCTGCATTCACTATATCCGCTCTCCCGGACCCTGCATTCACTATATCCGCTCTCCCCGGACCCTGCATTCACTATATCCGCTCTCCCCGGACCCTGCATTCACTATATCCGCTCTCCCCGGACCCTGCATTCACTATATCCGCTCTCCCCGGACCCTGCATTCACTATATCCGCTCTCCCGGACCCTGCATTCACTATATCCGCTCTCCCCGGACCCTGCATTCACTATATCCGCTCTCCCCGGACCCTGCATTCACTATATCTGGTCTCCCCAGACCCTGCATTCACTATATCTGGTCTCCCAGGACACTACATTCACTATATCCGTTTCTCCCCAGACCCCGCATTTACTATATCTGGTCTCCCACAGTACACAGAACATTGAAATGCAATTATGTTAGTAAATATAAACTGCTAAATACCTTTTCTCATCAGCAGTATATAAGCAGTCTTGTGACTTCTATCAGTGTCCAGCTGAGCACTGGTTAAAGCTTGTAGAAGGAGTTTTCTTTCTGCTCTAGGAGGATGCAGAACACCTGACCTCTGTCTAGACAGCACTGATTGGCCCTGTGCTAATCACATGTACTCTCCCAAAAAAATCCTCTCTAGCAATACACACCAAACTGAGTGACTCCACACAATATGTTTTATCAGGAAATAAGAGGGGGACTCTGGAAGAAGGGGATGATCAGAGAAGTCAGGATCAATCAGGCTTTTTGCACAATGCGGAGGATTAACCCCTTAGGTCCCACAATGAGAACAAGCATGCTTTACTGCATATACAGACTGATTGTACTATTGGGGGTTTAGCAACACTTTAGCAAAAAATTGAAGAAAAGTGAATATTAGACGGTTCACAAAATCGCTGTGTTTGTATTCTTCTTTACAAACTCAAACATTCACTATATAAACTGAAAAATGTTTGAAGATTTTGCTTTCCTTTGAATGACTTCATGAATATTTGGTTGTAGTCGCACTGTTTCTGAGAACTGCTGTACATCTGTGTTGCATGGAGTCACCCAACTTCTGGCCCCTGTGATCAGGTATTCCAGCCCAGGATGATTGGACCACATTCCACAGTTCTTCTCTATTTCTTGGTTTTGCTTCAGAAACTGCATTTTTGATGTCACCCCACAAGTTTTCTATTGGATGAAGATCCGGGGATTGGACTGGCCACTCCATAACGTCAATCTTGTTGGTCTGGAACCAAGATGTTGCACGTTTACTGGTGTGTTTGGGGTCGTTGTCTTGTTGGAACACCCATTTCAAGGGCATTTCCTCTTCAGCATAAGGCAGCATGACCTCTTCAAGTATTCTGATGTATTCAAACTGATCCATGATCCCTGGTATGTGATAAATAGGCCCAACACCGTAGTATGAGAAACATCCCCATATCATGATGCTTGCACCACCATGCTTCACTGTCTTCACAGTGTATACTGTGGCCTGAATTCAGTGTTTGGGGTCGTCTGACAAACTGTCTCCGCCCACTAGACCCAAAAAGAACAATCTTACTTTCATCAGTCCACAAAATGTTGCGCCATTTCTCTTTAGGCCAGTCAATGTGCTCTTTGGCAGATTGTAACCTCTTCAGCACACGTCTTTTTTCCAACAGTGGGACTTTGCGGGGACTTCTTGCAGATAGCTTGGCTTCACATAGGCGTCTTCTAATTGTAACAGTCCTCACAGGGAACGTCACACCTTCTTTCATCTTCCTGGAGTTGATTGTTGGCTGAGTCCGCGCCATTTTGGCTATTCTTCTATCCATTCCAATGGTAGTTTTTCGCTTTCTTCCACGTCTTTCAGGTTTTGGTTGCCATTTTAAAGCATTTGCGATCATTTTAGCTGAGCAGCCGATCATTTTCTGCACTTCTTTATATGTTTTCCCCTCTCCAATCAACTTTTTAATCAAGGTACGCTGTTCTTCTGAACAATGTCTGGAACGACCCATTTTCCTCAGAATTTCAGAGAGAAATGCACTGTAACCAGCATGTCCAACATTTGCTGCCTTCCTTCCTTAAATAAGGGCAATAATTGCCACCTGTTTTTCAAAGAATGAATGACCTCACTAATAGAACTCCACACGGCTATTATTTGAACATGCCCCTTAATGAGTGATTCAATGACACAGAATCAGCAGCATGCATGTCATGACTGTTGGGTCTGTTGGATTTCTATTACTCTACTACACCTGCTAGGAAATTATTTGCCATGTAGAAATATCATTGCTACCAAAAACAGTGATTGATCCGGTTAGTGATGTCTGACTGCTATAATTTTGAACACAACTGTATATATACTCTGTTTGGGGGTTCTAATTAATTTTCAATAATTTTCAATTAAAAAACGCTGATTTTTTTTTTTACATGTATGGCCTGATAGGCAAGTATTTAACTTAAAAAGGAGGTAACAGAGCCTGTATTTCTCTCATTACTTTTTTTTATACCAGAAAACTGCATTTACTGTTTATCTAAATGTAATGAAGGGGGTCTCTTTATACAACATTTATTGCATGAGCGTCAGAAACATTCATGCAAGTTGGACAAGATGTCCCATATTTTTTCTAAGAGATGAATGCCTGTATTGTCAGCTCCATCTAGTGGTCAAAATGCAGTAGTTTTTCTGACTTACCTCAATGAGAAAGCTACAGTTGCAAGAAAAAGTATGTGAACCCCTTGGGATTACGTGGAGTTTTGCATGAATTGGGCATAAAATGTGCTCTGAAACGTCATCTAAGTCACAACAATAGAAGAACACAGTCTGCTGAACATAATACTACACAAACATTAGATGTTGCCATGGTTTAATTGCACATAACATGTAAACATTCACAGTGCAGGGAGGAAAAAGTATGTGAGGCCCTAGCTTAATGACTTCTCCCAGAGCTAATTGGAGCCAGGAGTGAGCCAACCTTGACTCCAATCAGTGTGATGATATTGGATGTGTTGCTGACAGCTGTCCTGCCCTTAACAAACATACACCTGTTTTGGGTTTACTGGTTTCAAGAAGCACTGTCTGATGTGAACCATGCCTCGCAGAAAAGAGCTCTCAGAAGACCTACGATCAAGAATTGTTGACTTGCATGAAGCTGGAAAGGGTTACAAAAGTATCTCCAAAAGCCTTGATGTTCATGTGTCCACGGTAAGACAGACTATCTACAAATGGAGAAAGTTTAGCACTGTTGCTACTCTCCCTAGGCGTGGTCGTCCTGTACAAATGACTGCAAGAGCACAGCGCAGAATGCTGCATGAGGTAAAGAAGAATCCCAGAGTGTCAGCTAAAGACCTACAGAAATCTCTGGCACATGCTAACATTTTTGTTGACACATCTACAATAAGGAAAACATTAAACAAGAATGGAGTACATGGGAGGACACCACGGAGGAAGCCATTGCTGTCCAAAAAGAATATTGCAGCATGTTTGACGTTTGCAAAAGAGCACCTGGATGTTCCACAGCACTACTGGCAAAATATACTGTGGACAGATGAAACCAAGATTGAGTTGTTTGGGAAGAACACACAACACTATGTGTGGAGAAAAAAAGGCACAGCACACCAACATCAAAACCTCATCCCCACTGTGAAACATGGCGGAGGGAGCATCATGGTTTGGGGCTGCTTTGCTGCCTCAGGGCCTGGACGGATTGTTGTCATTGATGGTAAAATGAATTCCAGAGTTTATCAAGACATTTTGCGGGAAAACGTACGACGATCATCTGTCTGCCAACTGAAGCTCCGCAGAGGATGGGTGATGCAACAGGACAATGACCCAAAGCATACAAGTCATTCAACAAAACAATGGCTGCAACAGCACAGAATACGCCTTCTGGAGTGGCCCAGTCAGAGTCCTGACCTCAACCCGATTGAAATGCTGTGGCATGACCTTAAGAGAGCGATTCACACCAGACATCCCAAGAATATTGCTACACTAAAACAGTTTTGTGAAGAGGAGTGGTCCAAAATGACTCCAGATCGTTGTGCAGGTCTGATCTGCAAACTACAGGAAACGTTTGGTTGAGGTTATTGCTGCCAAAGGAGGGTCAACCAGTTATTAAGTCCAAAGGTTCACATACTTTTTCCTCCCTGCACTGTGAATGTTTACATGTTATGTGCAATTAAACCATGGCAACATCTAATGTTTGTGTAGTATTATGTTCAGCAGACTGTGTTCTTCTATTGTTGTGACTTAGATGACGTTCAGAGCACATTTTATGCCCAATTCATGCAAAAACTCCACATAATCCCAAGGGGTTCACATACTTTTTCTTGCAATTGTATACCTCATTTTGATCACTGGATGGCGCTACACAGTACAACCATAAATACGGGACCTTTTGCCCAACTTGTGTGCATGCTTCTGACGTTCTGACATAAATAGACCCGGAAGTGTCATCCAAATTAACAACATTAATATAATTGATCTGCACTTCTAACATTTGCTATTACATTTGCATTTAGTATTACATTTCCTTCTTATATTCAGTAACTAATGTCTAATCATTTTTTTTTCTCTAGGCTATATATTTGGGTTTTTAAAGCAATTTAAAGACAATGGCAACTTCTAAAGACATTCACTTACTCTTACCATCTTTCAGCGTGGTGTATTCAATGCGGTACTTGGTGATGATGCCATTGGTCAGCTCGGGCTGAAGAGGGAGCCATTTAACATGGATATCCTCAGGCGTCTCACCGATCAGTGACAACATGGGGGCAGCTGCTGGAACTAATGAAGAGATTGACCATCAGTAAATGCAAAAGCCCATCACTGGAGATACTCAGTGATTCCCCCACCACCACACCCATAACCACGCAGAGGCAGTAGGAAGAACCTGCTTCTGTGATTTCCACTGCTTAGCAGAATATTGGCCTCTTCTTATGTAATGGATGGGAGATACAGCCTTCATGACCATATGTGATTGGACCCCCTCCACCCCCGTAAGTATGAAACATCAACATCCCAACTCTGCTGTCATAACCAAACTGCCAAGTCAATGTCAACTTGAAAAAAAATAACAAAATGTACAAAAGAGTATGAACCATACGACGACGTAGGAATAAAAGAAAAGGAATTGGTGGGTCAAGGATAGGATAGGATGAATGCTGCTGCCAGACTCATCCACCTTGCTAACCGTTCCATATCTGCCACCCCTCTCTGCCAATCCCTCCACTGATCTCCACTCAGTGTCCTCCACCCTTCTCTGCCAATCCCTCCACTGATCTCCACTCAGTGTCCACCATCCCTCTCTGCCAATCCCTCCACTGACCTCCACTCAGTGTCCTCCACCCCTCTCTGCCAATCTCTCCACTGACCTCCACTCAGTGTCCTCCACCCCTCTCTGCCAATCCCTCCACTGGCCTCCATTCAGTGTCCTCCACTTCTCTCTGCCAATCCCTCCACTGACCTCCACTAAGTGTCCTCCACCCCTCTCTGCCAATCCCTCCACTGACCTCCACTAAGTGTCCTCCACCCTTCTCTGCCAATCCCTCCACTGGCCTCCATTCAGTGTCCTCCACTTCTCTCTGCCAATCCCTCCACTGACCTCCACTAAGTGTCCTCCACCCCTCTCTGCCAATCCCTCCACTGACCTCCACTAAGTGTCCTCCACCCTTCTCTGCCAATCCCTCCACTGACCTCCACTCAGTGTCCTCCACCTCTCTCTGCCAATCCCTCCACTGGCCTCCACTCAGTGTCCTCCACCCCTCTCTGCCAATCCCTCCACTGGCTTCCCATTGCCCAATGAATAAAATTCAAAACATTAACAATAACATATAAAACCATTTATAACTCTGCCCCAAATGACATCAGCAATCTTGTCTCTAAATATCACCCAAACCGTTCTCTCCGCTCCTCCCATGACCTCCTGCTCTCTATCTCCCTTGTCTCCCCCTCCCATGCTCATCTCCAAGACTTCTCCAGAGCCTCCCTCATCCTCTGGAATTCTCTACCCCAATCTATCTGACTATCTCCTACTCTGCCCACTTTTAGGTGATCCCCAAAAACCTATCTCTTCAGGGAAGCCTATCCTGCCTTCAGCTAATAATGGAATCTTCTATTCCTCCTACGATTCCATCCCCCACAGTTATTACCTTTTGTACCACCAGCCCCTCTCTTTTAGATTGTAAGCTCCAAGGAGCAGGGCCCTCCTAACCCTCTTGTATTGAACTGTATTGTCTCCCTTTATTTTGTAAAGTGCTGAGCAAACCGTTGGCGCTATATAAATCCTGTATAATAATAATATTGGGAAAAAAGGACTCTTGGGCAGGGTGAGCTCTCCTATATTCCCAGAGGATCCAGGAGATAGCAAAAACCGGAAGGACAACCACAACACCATATTTGATATGATGTTGGCAGAACAGGTAAAAAGTCTTATACATGTTTACGTATAAGATAACGCCATCTTTTTGGCCGAATTTCATGTTACACTCAAGACTCAGATGTACAAAGACCAAAATAAAAATGGCCAACACGTGTCACTCCACAGTGCTAAGTGTTTCATATGTATGGGAGGTCCGGCCATGCACTGATCCCACATGTGATCAGACAGGCTGCATCCCCCATCCTATGCATACAATTGATTAGGCCATCATGTTTCCTATCCACTTACCTGCATATGTTCTGTTGCAGTGATTTTCATCCATTGGGCTGTGGCCCACTGCTGGACCATGTCCTCCCTGCTCTCATGGCCTCCAGCCATTTGCAAGTCTCTTGACCTCCCACAGTGCTTCCTTGCTTCCCTAGTTCACCCCAACCTTCCATAGTGGCCCACAGTGCCCCCTGAGACCCCTCAGCCTTCACAGCCCCCCACCCCCCACACCTTCCACAGTGCCCCCCAGCCTGCTGCAGAGCCTTCAACCCACTATAGTGTCCCCAACCTACAACAGTGTCCCACAGTGCCCCCAGCCCTATCCAGAAACCTCAGGGCCACCTTGTCTGATGCAGGGTCCTCTACCCACTCCACAACCTAATGTAGTCACAATATGATTTTGGCTAGTAACATCTCAGCACTGTAACTGTACTCTTGGCTAAAACCAAGTCTTTATCCAACCATCGCTATTAATTTTTTAAAACGTTAATTAAAACTTATTGAAACAGAACATTAAGATCCACCCTATGAGAGATGTTTTCATGGCCAAGGAGGTTAGGACATGGAAGGGTTTGGTGCCTTGGTGATCTGATAGGCCGATAGACAGTTTAGCCCATGGTTTCTCAACCAGGGTTCCATGGAACACAATGGTTCCTTAAGAGGTTGCTTGGGGTTCCTTGAGCAATGAGCAATATCTGTCTCTTAGTTAAGTTCCTGCTGACACCATTGATCTTTATAGCTATCTATAAGGAGGTAATTCTTCCCAATGGCCAAAAGTGTGAGGAGCATTCTTCCCAGTGACCATCCATTGAATCCTAGGGTTCCTCCAGAGGCTGCTGGGGGATTCTTGAGCAATGAGCAATTTCTGTCTCCCAGATAAATTCCCACTGACACCATTGATATTTTTAGTGGTCTGTTAGGGGTTAATTCTTCCCAATGACCACAAGTGTAGGGAGCATTGTTCCCATTGACCATCACGCTAATGTATCATGAGTTGTAGATCTAGTCATTTTTAGCAGGGGTTCCCTGAGACCGGAAGGGTATTTCCAGTGTTCCTCTATGTTGTAAAGTTTGAGAAAGGCTAGTTTTAGTGTTGCTGTAAGAACACCAGATGAAGACACACAGGTCCATATTTCATAATAATGATGTCCCCAAAAAAACATCATAATTGGAACACCCAGGTATAGTATCAACCTCCTCTAGATTTCTCCTTTACTTCATTCCATTCGGTAAAATAGTGTCAGACATTGAACATGTCCCTAGAAACGTAGCACGGAGCAGAGATCATAGAACAAATCCAATTACCGTCATCCCATGTCTGTACCACCAGGGGCTCTGAGGCACGGCTGGCTCCTTGCTGAGAATAAGCGACAACATAAAAGGTATAATTGGTCCCGGGCTCCAGGTATTTCACATTCAGCTCTGTGGTGTCATTATTAACTGCAAACTGATACTCCATATTTTCAGAACCTGTAAGACAGAAGAAGAAAAGTTTGGAGGAGCACCCAACCCTACTTCATGTCCTCAGCAAGTCAACATCCTGGATATACGTACCGCCTGTCTTAGTGTAATGCAGAGAGAAGCCAATGACCCTCTCCCAGTTGCTCTTCGGTCTCTCCCAGGTCACCGTGACTGTCTTGCTGGTCACAGCCAGAGCTCTTAGGTCTTGTGGTGGACCAGGTAGACCATCCTGGACTGTCACATGGAGTCTGGTTGTGGCACAAGCACTGCCCAGTATGTTCGTAGCCACACATTGATAGTACCCAGCATCCTCCAGATCGATCTGTGTGATCACCAGGCTGCCCCTTGACTGAATCCTCACTCTCCCGTTTGAAGAAAGTTGATGTCCATTTTTCAGCCAGGTGATGATGGGTTCCGGATCTCCAGTAGCGCTGCAAGCAAAACGAGCTGTGCCAGCCCGGGCTCGGGCAATGATCTCTGGTGGTTGCGTAATAAATGGGGGCACTAAAACAGGACATGAAAAACAGGTTTTTTTGTTACATACCGTAAAAGTCCTTTGTCTGAGTTTATTATGGACACATCTCCTCTATCCTTGACCATAGGAAGCGCTGTAACTATATGATCAAGAATAGAAGAGCTGTGTCCATCAATGAACATATGAGAAAAGAGGTTTCAATAAACAAACTGGTCCCTAAATAAAAAAAAAGAAAATCTTGAAACTAAAAATATCAGATTATGTGGATAATACAATCCATAATGTATGTGGAATGTTCCAAATCAGAACCTTAAGGTGAATTATCAAATATTTTCATAATTTTCTTTAGATGTGTGTTGGCTGGCTGCAAAAAAATGTGTTCCTGCTCTTTCATCATTCTAGATTTCATATTAAAATTGAAAACAACTGGCACTGGTACAATTTTTGCTTAGCTGTCAATAAACAACAGTACAAAAAGTTAAAGAGAACCTCTCCCTAGATCCTTAATTACTAACACATGTTTTTTTCTAGCTTTCAAGTATCTTTCTAGTATCAAGTATCTATTGTGAACTCTGCGGCCAGACTCATCCACCTTACCAACTGCTCCGTATCCGCCACCCCCCTCTGTAATTCCCTCCACTGGCTCCACCCCCCTCTGTCATTCCCTCCACTGGCTCCACACCCCCTCTGTCATTCCCTCCACTGGCTTCCGATTGCCCAACGCATTAAATTCAAACTACTAACTTTGACGTACAAAGCCATTCATAATGATGCCCCAAACTACCTCACCGACCTGATACCCAAATACCACCCAACCCGTACTCTTCGCTCCTCACAAGATCTCCTACTTTCTAGCTCCCTGGTCTCCTCCTCCCACACCCGACTGCAGGACTTCTCCACGATTTCCTCCATCCTCTGGAACTCACTACCCCAATCCATCAGACTGTCACCTACCCTCCTCACCTTTAGACACACCCTGAAAACCCATCTCTTCAGGGAAGCTTACCCCACCCTCACCTAACAGCCGATCTCCTCCACTCCTCCGACCACTCCATCCCCCGCAGCCACCTCCTCCTGTACCACTATCCCCTCCCTCCTAGATTGTAAGCTTGAAAGAGCAGGGCCCTCGAACCCCTCGTGTATTGTATTGTTTCTGTATTGTCTCATGTACTGTCCCCCACTATTTTGTACAGCGCTGAGCAAACTTTTTGGCGCTATATAAATACTGTATAATAATAATCTTTTCTTTGTTGTATTGGACGGCATGAGGTTATCATTTTTTTGACATCTTGTGACCGTTTTAGGGCACTACAACTTGTTTACTGTCAGGCTCCGCCCAACGAGATCTCTAGTGGTCCACAGCACGGGGTTCCCCAGGACGCGGAGTCTAAGTCCCAGTCTGCCTTTTCACCAGAGCCCCTGATGGTGGGGATGGACTTGGTGCAAGACTGGAACCAGGTCGTGCCCCTGGGCACCCCCGGCGGTGGTAGAGGGGTCCCGCTGAGGGTATGTGCCTGGGATGAGCCTGCTGTGAAGAGGCTGACAGGTCCCGATCCAAGCGGGATGGATGGATGACTGCTAGGAGTGGGCGAGGTCAGACTAGCCGGGTCGGTAACAGTGGGGGTGCGGTACCAAGCAGCAGGCAAAGAGTAGTCAGGTCACACGCCGGGTTCAGTAACAGAGGGTCCAAAATAACAGTAACTACAGGCAGAAGAATGGTCAGGGACGAGCCAGGGTCAGAGCAGGAGAGGGTCAGCATAAATCAGAACAGGCAGAGTTTGGCAACAAGGAAACGTACTAACAGGAACAGGAACAAGACCTTGCAGCAATTTGGAGATACACAGGGCAGGTTTAAATAGAGCGCCCTGTTCTCCCATTGGTGCGGCCACGATCGCTAGTGTGCATTGGCCGAGAACTCTGTGCTCGCCGGCTCAGCGATCTGCGCATGCACGCACTACCGAGCGCCCTGGATCCCTGACATTTACTAATGTTATTTTAGTATCTTTCTGTCTTCCCCTCCTGTTTGGTGCCAGTTAATTTTGTCCTAGCTAGACCGCACCCCGCTTCTTCCATGTTCCCTCAGTCAATGTTAGTTATTCACAGAGACATGCTTAGGAAAGTCATTGTCTACTTATACTTTAAAGGACTATAAAAAATATCCTCTGTACTGCAATTAGCTGAAGTAAAATTGTGTTGGATTCAACGTCTGTGTTTTATTGAAGAGTTAAGCTGCGTTAGTGCCCCCCGTCACCTCCTGCGATATGTGACATTCATATTCCAGGAGCCCCAAAAGTCACCCCATTCACTAATAGAGGAGGGGGGCTGGCCTAGCAGCAATAGGCATCACCGGTAGGCTGTGCCAGAACCTGAAAGAGCTGGCGCAGCCTCCAGATGATGGCAGGAAGCACCACGGCGGTGCGAGAACTGCTGGAGGCTGCAGAGAATAGGATCCCAGCAGGATAACGCCTGATCCTCTGTGTGGGTGAGTATCCCAACTGTGGCCATCTCAGCATCAGGTAATAGGGGAGAAGAAAAAAAAATAATGGGGGGGGAGCAAAATTCCTTTTCAATATTCAGTTACTACCTACAGTATTTTATGCTGGACGTGAATTGTCACTTAGACAGCTGATGGAGGTCACCAATGGCCCGAGCAGTCCCAGAGGTGTCATGGTGATACTCTGGAGAACCCTCACACTTGCATGGTATTGCTGGATCAGCTTTCTTCATACAGTGGCTTCACCCTTGTTCCTCAGCTGTCAGAGTCACTGTCTATGCTTGGAGTGAATACAAACAAAGGACAGAAGTGGCATCTTTGTTTAGAAATAGACCTTGGCTAGAGTGGACACCGGGACCAACAGAGGCTTCTTAAGGTGGCTAAACACAGCATGAATTTCAGCCGTTTCTTGCATACTCACCTGAAATTATTACCTGTGAGTGGCCCTGTCAGCACCAAATTGACTTTTGTTGAAGGAACCAGTTGGAAAATAGTGGGCAGTTAGATGCTGCCACTGTCTGGGTATTCAGCAGCTGGTGGAGCAGCGGCAGCTTAATAGAGAAGTCAGCATCAGGGATTCCCCTATCTACACTATGTAGCATGGATGGGGGAACCGATCAACTTCTCCCATGCCTCATTCAGCAGAGGTGGGGGGGGGGGGGGTGGCTGAACAAGATATTTATATGTGATTGGCCAACTTTAGATAGAGCATGCTTCTGTGCAGCAGAATACCCAAACAGCGGCTGCATCTGATTGGCCAAATTTTTTTCATCTGGGTCCTTTTATTTTTCAACCAATGGATGTCAGGAGGGATGATGGTGACAGTTCATCAAGGATCTGATAACACTCGAATAGTGTATAGCCAGCATTAGTCTTCAAGCTGCTTACTTTGATAGACCCAGAAAATGAATTACTGTATATGTTGTACAGGACCTTCAAAGTGTTGAAGGTGTTCAAGGTTCCCCCCCCCCCATTTCCACTCACCTAGAACTTGTAGTTGGGCCGAAGTGGTAACAAAATGCTGACTGTGCGGATAGCTGGCTCTGCACACATAAACTCCAGCATGGTGGGCCTGAATGTGCTTGATCAGGAGGTTACTCTCTCCAAGTAGGACGATATCAGAGGAGAGTGGATTGCCATCTGAAGAACATACAAAAGTTAGATCAGAGTAAGCTAGATCCAGTAATCAGCCATAACTGCAGAAGAACAGTTAAATTCCAAGCAAAGTCTACTTCATAGCTGTAAAGTAAATGGGAAATAACCAATAAAAAAGTTGCTGGTTCAGAAAATCAAGTCATGTGACATTTACAATGCTTAACATATATACCTTGATACACATCTACACAGCTACCAATAAATGCCGCTATTCCGAATCTCAGCCTAACACCCTTATTTGTGCAGTCTCACAACAATGCAAATTGCCCAAAATCTGCAGCTTACCTTGACAAAGCCAAGAAGCCGCCCAATATACTGTGTACCTGCTCATACATTCTCATTACTATGGAAGCTGCCCAAAATCTGCAGCTTACCTTGACAAAGCCAAGAAACCGCCCAATATACTGTACCTGCTCGTACATTCTCATTACTATGGAAGCTGCCCAAAATCTGCAGCTTACCTTGACAAAGCCAAGAAACCGCCCAAATATACTGTACCTGCTCGTACATTCTCATTACTATGGAAGCTGCCCAAAATCTGCAGCTTACCTTGACAAAGCCAAGAAACCGCCCAATATACTGTGTACCTGCTCATACATTCTCATTACTATGGAAGCTGCCCAAAATCTGCAGCTTACCTTGACAAAGCCAAGAAACCGCCCAATATACTGTACCTGCTCATACATTCTCATTACTATGGAAGCTGGCCAGAATCTGAAGCTCACCTTGGCAAAGCCCAGAAACCGCCCAATATACTGTACCTGCTCGTACATTCTCATTACTATGGAAGCTGGCCAGAATCTGAAGCTCACCTTGGCAAAGCCCAGAAACCACCTAACAACCCTACTCGTATGTTCTCACTTCTATGCAAGCTTGCCAGAATCTGAAGCTTATTGTCCCAAAGCCAGAAAACCCCTTATTATCCCTACTCGTGCAGGCTCACCACCATGCACACTGACCAGAAGCTGAAGCCTGCCTTGACAAATCCAAGAAACCACCTAATAACCCTATTCGTACAGTCTTGCCACCATGCAAACTATCTAGATTCTGAAGCTTACATTGACAAAGCCGTAAAACCACTAAATATGCCTAATTGTAGTCTTACCAACATGCAAGCTGGCCAGAATCTGAAGCTTACCTTACAGACATGAAACCACCTAATCTCCCTGTTCGAACAGTCTCGCCACCATGGAAGCTAGCCAGATTCTGAAGCTTATCTTGACAAAGCCAGTAAACCACTTAATATCACTATTAGTACAGTTACACCAACATGCAAGCTGGACAGAATCTGAAACTTTCCTTGACGAAACCAGGAGATCACCTAATATCTCTACTGGTACAGTCTCATCACCATGCAAGCTGGCCAGAATCTGAAGATTAGCTTGACAAAGTCAAGAAACCACCTAACAACCCTATTCATATAGTTTCACTACTATACAAGCTGGCCAGAATCTGAAGCTTACTTTGACAAAGCAAAGAAACCACCTAATATCACCACTTGTATAGTCTCACCACCGTGCAAGTTGGCCAGAATCTGAAGTCTACCTTGACAAAGCCAAGCACCACCTAACAACCCTGCTCTTACAGTCTCAACCATGCAAGCTGACCACACAGTCTGCTTACATTGACAAATTCAAACACCACCTAACAAACCTATTTACACAGTCTCACCTTCATGCAATCTGGCCAAGATCTGAAGCTTACTTTGACAAAGCCAAGAAACCACCCAATATCCCTATTTTTGCAGTCTCACCACCATGCATGCTGGCCAAAATCTGAAGTGTACCTTGACAAAGCCAAGAAACCACCCAATATCCTTGCTCATGCTATCTTATAACCATGCAAGCTGGCAAGATATGGAAGCTTACCTTGACTAATCCAAGGAACCACCCAATATCCCAGGTTGCACAGTCTCACCACCATGAAAGCTGCTCAAAATTAAAAATTTTCCTTGACAAAGCCAAGAAACCTCCCAACATCCCTACTCGTGCATTCTCACCACTATGAAAGCTGCCCAGAATCTGAAGCTTACCTTGACGAACCCAAGAGAAAACAGGCATCCCATTTCCCTCTGCTGAACACTCCATTACTGCACTCTGTCCCATCTCCATGGTGAGGTTCTGTGGAGTTCTAGTTATTGTCAGCTCATCGGAGAAAGGTTTTGGATCTGTATAGGGACATTCAAAGATTATGACAGGCATGACGACATACGTACATAGACACACATACTCCACTTTCCAAGGATTTATCATAATGTAAGATTTTCAGCACAGATGTGGAAAGACACCTTAGAGTCATAGAGCGATGATAGATAAAATATACATACAGTACTAGGCCCATCTAGTTAAAGGGACTTAATTGTAAAGGGTAAAAAGGTAAGTTTCAATGCAGTAAAAACTATCCTCGTAATAATGCCTTGAAATGGGTGTAGCACCCTCCTAGTTGTGTTGCTACTTAAGTTTGGTAAATTAAGTTTTTTTTAGTTCTAGTGTATTAAGATGAGCGGCTTTTGAATATTTTGGGCTGTTCTGTATCTCACTTGTTTGCAAGTTTGACTGCTTCCCCTTGCCTTCTGGAGGGTTCTGGAAAGCAGTGAGCTGGGAGAGTCAAATAAGCAGCCTAAATATTAATGTAATTCCAAATAATCCTTGGGGGAGGGTGCCAAGTAGGTGGCTGGGAGGGAGCATAAATAGTCTGAGACCTAGAGCAGAGGGGTTCTGGTCCAGGAAGAGGAGATTCCAACCTGAAGGACTGCTGCCCTTCTTCGCAGTCCAACTGTGTTTCTTCCTTTGCTCATTAAGGTCCCAGTTGTGCTTGCCGGGAGGCCTGTTCTACTAATCTTTGCTCGAGCTGATTGAGGGATTTCTTTTTGGGGATCTGGTCTGTGGAGACCACAGGAGATACAGTATGTCTTGCATCAGAGTTAGCCTGTGCTTAAACATGGACATTGCTTATGGTGTCCCTGTGTAGTTCAGTCTATTAATTGCTGCTGCCAGCATTGTGCTAGAAAACTTTGAGCAGGAGACACGTGTCCCCAAGTTACTACTTAAAGTGTTACTAAACCCAGGACCCTGCATTCACTATATCCGATCTCCCCAGACCCAGCATTCACTATATCTGGTCTCCCCAGACCCTGCATTCACTATATCCGATCTCCCGGACCCTGATTCACCTGCATCTCCCCAGACCCAGCATTATATCCGATCTCCCCAGACCCAGCATTCACTATATCTGGTCTCCCCAGACCCTGCATTCACTATATCCGCTCTCTCCCCAGACCCAGCATTCACTATATCTGGTCTCCCCAGACCCTGCATTCACTATATCGCTCTCCCCAGACCCAGCATTCACTATATCTGGTCTCCCCGGACCCTGCATTCACTATATCTGGTTTCCCCGGACCCTGCATTCACTATATCTGGCTTCCCCGGACCCTGCATTCACTATATCTGGTTTCCCCGGACCCTGCATTCACTATATCCGGTCCCCCGGATCCTGCATTCACTATATCCGCTCTCCCCAGACCCTGCATTCACTATATCTGCCCTCCCCGGACCCTGCATTAATTATATCTGGTCTCCCCGGACCCTGCATTCACTATATCTGGTCTCCTGGACCCTGCATTCACTATATCTGGTCTCCCCGGACCCCGCATTCACTATATCCGCTCTCCCCCGGACCCTGCATCCACTATATCCGCTCTCCCCGGACCCTGCATTCACTACATCCACTCTCCCCGGACCCTGCATCCACTATATCCGCTCTCCCCAGACCCTGCATTCACTATATCCGCTCTCCCCGGACCCTGCATCCACTATATCCGCTCTCCCCGGACCCTGCATTCACTATATCCGCTCTCCCCGGACCCTGCATTCACTATATCTGGTCTCCCCGGACCCTGCATTCACTACATCCACTCTCCCCGGACCCTGCATTCACTATATCCGCTCTCCCCGGACCCTGCATTCACTACATCCACTCTCCCCGGACCCTGCATTCACTATATCTGGTCTCCCTGGACCCTGCATCCACTATATCCGCTTTCCCCGGACCCTGCATTCAATACATCCACTCTCCCCGGACCCTGCATTCACTACATCCACTCTCCCCGGACACTGCATTCACTATATCTGGTCTACCACAGTACACAGAACATTAAAATGAAATTATTTTAGTAAATATAAACTGCTAAATACCTTTTCTCATCAGCAGTATATAGCAGTCTTGTGACTTCTATCAGTGTCCAGCTGAGCACTGGTTAAAGCTTGCAGGAGGAGTTTTTATTCCGCTCTGACTGTCCTATTAGGCTGCATAACCCCTGACCCTCTGTCTGGACAGCACCGGTTGGCCCTGTGCTGATCACATTAACCCTCCCAAGAAAAAAAAAAATCTCTAGCAATATACACCAAACTGAGCATGTGCAGCTTGTCCCCAGGGCTCTGATATATCAGTAGATGGATTGGGTATTGTAGAAGAAGGGGAGGATCAGAGAAGACAGGATCAGACAGCCTTTTCACACAATGCAGAGGATTAGCCCCTTAGGTTCCACAGTGAGTATAACAAGCATGCTTTACAGCATCTACAGACTGATTGTACTGTTGTGGGTTTAGTAACACTTTGTCATTACTGGAATATCCCATGGTTTACCTGCAACCATACAAGTTCAAATTATAATAAAGCATAAAAAAAGGATACCCCTAGACTATTTACTAAGCCAGAATAGTGACTGAGACTGTATGCCTGGCTGCTGGAGCACTCACTGTGGTAAGAACGTCGGGACCAAATCAGTGGGCCCTTTAGGGGGTGAGAGCTACATGGCAACAAGAAGTGGGGCCTCCTGTAGGGAGGACAATGGGAACTTGTACTATAGTCAGTCACACAAAGTCCTCTCCTCATGTCTCAGAGACTAACCCAACTGAGAGCCCATCATACCCCTCTGAACTCTTATCCTTATGCTCTGGCGATGGCCAAAACAACATAGCTATCGAACATCAGTAGTTACCACACTGAACTCCATATTCCAGGTAACGCCACCCCCAGTACAAGAAATTGCCACTGCCCCAGTCTATAACTGGCCTTCACAGCAAGGAGCACATGAGAGCCCCCATAGTAGAGGCACATGTATGTAACGCATACACTGAGGGCAGGTAAACCTGAGGGAGCCCACCCCTCCTTAAAGGTACTGGAGCGCACTGGACACCCACTTCACTGCCCCCCAATATTCTACTATGGAGGCTCTCAAAATTTGTAGAGTTAGGAACTGCAGAATATCGGGGGGGTGCCGTGAGAAGAGTTTGCAGCTTACGCATGTGTTTGCAAATGTGTGCTAACTAAACCCGTTTTTAATGCATACTGTTAGGTAAATTCGGTTTGTTTGCAGGCTGGTTGGGAAGTTGAGCCGGGATTTTTCACTTTTATTGTTTGACATGCATCGCCCTTCCGTATGCTCCTTGCTATGAAGGCCAGTTATAGTCTGGGGCAGTGGCCATTTCTTGTACTTTTGACCTGTTGGTGGGGGACGCACTGGACACCTTGGCTGCCATTGTCCTAGATGCTGGGTGTCCAGTGCGCTCCTGTACCTTTAATGAGGGGTGGGCTCCCTCAGGCTCACCTGCCCTCAATCTATCCATTAAATACATGTGCCTCTACTATGGAGGCTCTCAAAATTTATAGAGTTAGAAACTGCAGAATATCGGGGTGCCGTGAAGAGGCTCTGTAGCTTGCGCATGTGTCTGCAAATTAGTGCTAACGAAACCTCTGTTTTCAATGCATAGTTAGGTAAATTCAGTTTGTTTGCAGGCTGGTTGGTAAGTTGAGCCGGGAATTTTTCACTTTTATTGTTTGACATGTGTCCCCCTTAAATGTGTTCCTTGCTGTGAAGGCCAGTTATAGTCTGGGGCAGTGGCCATTTCTTGTACTGTTGACCTGTTGGTGGGGTGCGCAGTGGACACCTTGGCTGCCATTGTCCTACATGCTGGGTGTCTAGTGCGCTCCTGTACCTTAATGGAGGGGTGGGCTCCCTCAGGCTCACCTGCCCTCAATCTATCCATTAAATACATGCGCCTCTACTATGGGGGCTCTCAAAATTTGTAGAGTTAGGAACTGCAGAATATCGGAGTGCCATATGAAGGGTTTGCAACTTACGCATGTGTTTGCAAATGTGTGCTAACGAATCCCCTGTTTTTAATGCATACTGTTAGACAGGTTAATTTGGTTTGTTTGAAGTCTGGTTGGTAAGTTGAGCTGGGAATTTTTCGCTTTTATTTGACATACATCGCCCTTCCATGTGCTCCTTGCTGTAAAGGCCAGTTATAGACTGGGGCAGTGGCCATTTCTTGTACGGTTGACCTGTTGGTGGGGGACGCACTGGACACCTTGGCTGCCATTGTCCTACATGCTGGGTGTCCAGTGCGCTCCTGTACCTTTAATGAGGGGTGGGCTCCCTCAGGCTCACCTGCCCTCAATCTATCCATTAAATACATGTGCCTCTACTATGGGGGCTCTCAAAATTCGTAGTTAGAAACTGCAGAATATCGGGGGTGTTGTGAAGTGGCTCTGTGTTTGCAAAAACTAAACCCCTGTTTTTAACACACACTATTAGACAGGACAATTCGGTTTGTCTCCAGGCTGGTTGGTAAGCTGAGCCGGGAATTTTTCTCTTTTTTTGTTTTTAATACCCCCCCCTAGATCCCAGAATCTGTGTTCTGGGCACCCTGGAGGATTCGAATATGGATGGGGCTACTACTGTGGTGGCGATGAGGTCCCTATTACTTGAGAGTAAAGAAACTTACAGGAACACCAGAAACCTTTAGATTCTCCTTTAGTGGTCTGTTGAGTACGGCGTATGAATACAACCCTGAGATTGGAGTGTTACATATTTCAGCAATGGGGATGTGCTGCTAAATGTGAAAGGACCTGGGCCAGATGGCTTGATGCTCCAGGCATGTACTCACTAGACGTAATTACACGTAGACTTGTTGCCTACACTCCATGGTGTCACGGGAGGGCTGTGGGATGGCGTTGGCTGACACTTCAATGATCTAGTAGAGGTCAGTTGTCATCCCACCATTTGTGCATTGTATTTAGATTGTACCTTCACTCCTAGAATTCA